AACTTTTTTTTCATCTTTTATTCAGAAATTTTTTAAAATCAGTTATGAAAGACAATATCCCCGTATTTAAAATTCTGTAGCGTTTGTTTTCATTGATCAGCTAGATTTCCCGTGTTTATATCTTGTAGCGGTAGCTTGATTGATTTGTTTTGTAAGGTTTTTTGAAGGTTATTTAAAGCCAGAAAATACTTTTAGATTGTAAGATTTTTGGGAGGAATAATAATAATTTACTAACACAATTCCTAATAATTAACCCATAACTAGGGGGATAAGAGGTGAATTCATAGCATTCCCAAGGGTATTTTGTGCGTAAGTGAATATAAAGAACTCGGGCCGTTATCGATTGCACCATCTGCGCACCCTAGCTTACAGCACCTGGTATTCTCAAGCGGTCACTCATCTTGGTACTGACCAGGCTCAACGTTGCTTAACTTCGATGATCGTACGGAAACCGGTGTTTCAACTCAATATGGCCGTAAGCCTGTTGTGTTCGCGTGGATTCTAGTGGGCATGCCCTGTGTGTATGTTTGATAGTTTCTGTCTGTAGTTCCTGAAGATGGTGCTGGGATGAAGTGTGTGTGTGTGTGTGTGTGTGTGTGTGTGTGTGTGTGTGTGTGGGTGTGTGTGTGTGTGTGTGTGTGTGTGTGTGTGTGTGTGTGTGTCAAATTTCTAAAGAGACTTGAAGCAATAGAAATATGGTTCTACAGGAAGATACTGAGGATACTATGGACCGAATATGTGACGCAGTTTTAGATAAAATGTAAGGAAAAAGGAAACTTATACTTAACACCAGGAAGAAGCATTTGAATTTCATAGGGCGCATAACGAGGAAAGAGGGCATGGGTAATCTGATACTCACAGGATAGATTGAAGGCAAGAGGGCCAGAGGAAGCAATGCGTTACATACTTAGTGAGCTTGAATAAATGGATGGCGGAACAGGTTTTAGAAGAAATAACAAAAAGACAACCATGATCATCTATATCCTGGGGGGACACGACACATAAAAATGGCTGCTAATATCTATGTGGATTAAGTGTACATAATTAATTTTAGATTAAATTTTATTGTTTTTATCACTGAGAAAAAATCGTGTGTGCCGAGAAAGTTTTATGTATAAAGGACGGATTTATGGATGTCTGTTCTGTTGAATTCTATTATTATTATTATTATTATTATTATTATTATTATTATTATCATCTTATTTCAATTGATTTCTGGTGTGTACACATTTCTTTCCGGGTCCCGCCCAGAGACCTAAGGTTAGAAATGGCATCATGATATTTTCCCCTGACTAATTAAAAAAAAACAAAAACATTTTACATAGATAAATCCCTTCGTAAGGTGTGGATTGTACTCGTGAGAACGTTTTTTTTTGTATTTCTTTAAGGCATGGGCTTCCAGGAATCCCTTCAATTAGTTTACTGGAATCTTTTCCATCCAGTCCGAATGCTCCGACTACAACAGGGATTGTTGATGTTACCATGTGCCACATTTTCGATTTCAAGGTTCTTGTATTTTGATAGCTTTTTGAAGATCTTCAAAAATACATTGCAGTCTACAGAAACTGCCATACCAATAAAGAGGTGTTTTTTTTTATTTTTATTTGCGGTCTCTAATAACAATGTCTGGGCGGTTGGCTTTGATTGTTCTGCCTGTGTGTATTAATAAATAAAATTGTTACAAAACCTATCTCCGTAACCGGGTCGGGGTGGTGGTATTATTATTATTATTATTATTATTATATAATTTTGTGCGTATTAGGAGATATTTGCTGTGTGTTAGTGAAAGGTGTCTTATCGTGTTTTCTGTCGTGTGGTGTGTACAGCAAAATCATGGAAGTGAATGTTTGAAAACTTAGTTTACATCATCAGCAAGTGTCTGGATCTCACATTGTCCATATTGATTTCTGTTAATTTTCAACAGGCTCCAACTGTCTACAACTGCTGCCTAATAAACCTTCAAGTGTACTTCATAGATTATAATTGAAAGAGTTTTCCTGTTATTTTTTTAAAATTATACATACTTAAAATTTTACTCGTTCATGATCTAAATTAAACGTAGAGAATATAGCATTTGTTTGCATACATAACAAGTTCAAAATAATGAATTATATATATTTGTAAATATTGTTTTAGCTTCACAGAATTCGGCTGCGGGTTTGAAGATTCAAACTATACTTTCGTATTATATTGACGCTTAACATAAAAAAGACCCCCCCCAAAAAAAAACAAGTCCCTCCAGCTACAAAAGAAGGGATTCCAGTAAATTGGTCATGGCTTAAAGACGGTCTAAAATGTTTTGGAAGCTGATTCGACTTTAAAAAGAGACTCAGTGAATAGAGAAGAAAGGAGAGGAATATTTGTATGTACATCCGTTTATAGAAATCTTTTTATCTCAATCTTATTTCGCGAATAAAACGTTTAAAAAGAAAAAGAAACGATTTTTTTATTATAAAGAAAAAGAAAATAGGAAAAGCCTCTAAAAATCACATTCACAAAACAAACTGATGGGAATTAGAAACATTTGAAACAAAATGGTGATTTCTCTTATTTCATTCATTATTATTTTATTTTATTTTATTTTTTATTTAAGTTCCTTTTTGGCGCCTACTATTTAACAATCTTGTTTTTATAAACCAATTCTCTAGCGAAGAGTTATATTAGTGTAGTGAACAAAAGATCTAGATTTAAAATTCAAATGCTAAGCACTGACTCATTGATTTTGTTAGAAATTAAATTGAATTTACAAACTTCGCTTAACACACACGCAAAAGCGAATCCAAAACAAACCTCGTGAAATTTCACACCTTAATGCGAAATGTTTTGTCGACCGATAGAAAACTAAGAAACATTTAAAAACAAAATTCAAATAATCTTCAATTCTCAGAAACAAATTCTTTTACGGACCTTTTCGCGAGCCGACGCGAAGTTTGTCGTCATTCAATGGGAAGGCCCGAATCATATCCGGGAGTGAATTCCCAAATGACCTTTTCAAGCCCCACAAACAAAATAAAAAAAACGGGCAAGTTAGCCTGTCACCAGAGAGAAGGAGACGAACATATTAACAAGTCCCTTGACAAACGTCAAGCGATCGTTATTATTATCTCTACCTTTCTCCCTCACCTCTTTTATACTTGATAAACGATCGGAACATTTTAAGACTGAGCGATTACTTCAAAGACATTCCTATCCTTCGATAACGCTCATACATACATCTACACATACGTTCCTGCCTACGTACACATAAACTCATTCTTGCAAGGACTCTTACGAACATTTTGACGACCTTGTATCAACCAAAATACAATAATTTTATTTGTAAAGACCTTAATTGATTTATATGTATATAAATTTGTTCACTTTACAATTTGATTTTCTTGTTTTATACCCCTCTTATGGTGGGCTATCTAACTAACAAGGCCAAATCAAACTAATCTGTTTCAACACTCATACACTTCACTATAACTGATGACCCACTATATAAGCATAGGATCTCCGGTACAGAAATCAAAATCTATTTGAAGTAAGATATGCTATTATGGCCGAATGATGAAAGTTTCTGAGGTCGACCATGTAGGTATCCACCATTCCAAATTTGACGCTTGATCCTTAGATCAGATATTGGGAAGTAAATCAGGTAGATAAATTATCAGCATCCCCCCACTGCATATTTAATTCCTCTGAATATAAACGAGATGAAAAACGAATTGATTGATCAGAGATAGACTTCACATTTTATTTGGTATTAAAATTGGTTGTTTTCATTTTTTTTTTTTTTTTATCAGAATTCACTAATTAGTTTTTGGTAAAATGTTCAGACGAACTACATGGCTTAGTTCCACGAAAAATTCTCGAAAGTGCCGGAATTGAATCTTACCAAAATATAAATATGCGCTCCGATTTTTTTTCTTTTTCAGATGTCAAATTCCGAAAGAATTACTCAGTTCTAAAACGAAACCTCATGTGGAACCCGAATTCTCTCATTGCAAGTTGTCCCAATTAATCACTGAAATACACTATAAACGAAACACTAAACTAATTCGAGATACAGTTTCCTAGTATTCAACCGTAGTTCTGCCTTGGTTGGTTGACTTACAATTCATAATGGTGAATTGTGTAATTACTTTCGGAGTGTCCTCATAGAAGACTTGATAACATAATTCTAAGCACAGTTTCCTTGCATTCGACCTTAGTTTTGTCTTGGTTGGTTGACTCATAATTCATAGCGGTCAAGTACATAATTACTTTCTGAACAGCCTAATATAATTTGTTTGATGCTGAAGTGAACGTTTTCTTCCAACTTATTAAATAGTATCAAATCTTGTTTTGTTTTTTTTAATCTTTGTTAAAACAACATCTGTAAAAATGGATTAGGGGATTATAAGAAGATGAAGATGGATGCGACAGGTACTTTAGTCAGGAAAATATTCATTTTGAATAATCACAAATTTCATCTTCAATCTATTTTTAATAAAAAAATTCTTTTCTTCTCTTGCTGATGAGAAGGAGATTTTGAAAATTCCTAAACATTATCGGTAGCAAATCAGTAAAGTTTTATTATTAAATGCTCCATTTGTTAATTAAATCTCACAACTTGGTGAATCCGTTTACTGTATTACATTGCTTGATTCGTTTTTACGTCTTATCAACCCTTTGCATATTATTAAAGCCTGGAAATATTTTTTTTTAGATTGTAAGAATTTCTTTTGGTGATAATAATGGTTTAGTGATACAAGTTTTACTAAGTAGAAGAGATTTGTTCAAACCTTTCCCAAAGGTATTTGCTCGTATGCGAATTTGAACGCAGTTTGACAATTCCGAGTCATTATCCATTACACCACTCGCACATCCAAGTTTACAGCACCTGGTATTCCCAAGCGGTTACCCATTTAGGTATTGACCAGGCCCAACGTTGCTTAACTTCAGTGATCGTACAGGAACTTTGATCTCTGATTAACAATTCCGAGTCATTATCCATTACACCACTCGCACATCCAAGTTTACAGCACCTGGTATTCCCAAGCGATTACCCATTTAGGTACTGACCAGGCTCAATGTTGCTTAACTTCAGTAATCGTAGGGAAACTCTGATCTCTGATTAACAATTCCAAGTCATTATCCATTACACCACTCGCACATCTAAGCTTACCGAATCTGGTATTTCCAAGCAGTCACCTATTTAGGTCCTGACCAGGCTCAACGTTGCTTAACTTCAGTGATCGTACGGGGACTCTGATCTCCGATTAAAATTTCCAAGTTAATATCCATTACACCACTTGCAGATCCAAGCTTACCGCACCTGGTTTTCTCAATCAGTCATCTATCTAGATACTGACCAGGGTTGACGTTGCTTAACCACGTGTATTTCTGTCTTTTTTTTTTTTCTATGATTCTGCATGCAACTTTGGTGAACTTTCCTTCAAACCACATTGAGAAAATTTGATCAGTAAAAAATTGTGCACTATTTTATTTTATTGCTGAAGTAAATAATTTATATATATATAAAATTGTATCCAGATGGCACGAGAACCACTCAATGTAGAGTGTTGTGTTGGTTGAAATGGAAGAAGTAATGATAGGAAGTTCAAATGGTGAGGATAAGGAAGAAAGATGATGGCTGACCTTTGAAAAGGTCATGCTTAGATTGATTAAGGAAGCAACCACGTGAGAATCTGATTCAGTGGGTAGCAGTTCTTCAGAAAAATTCGCTTGGGTTGAACTCCGTTCTTACATTTGTAATAAGGTGGAAAATGCAGGCGATTCAGCCCAGTGGACGGAGCATGGCGGATCTTAGTCGTGATGGTCTGAGCTAGTGACACTAAAGAACTTGTTTGAACATTTGCCATGGAAATAGTGATAGTGTAGCGAGAGGCTTGTAACATTAATTCTGTGGGAAATAAATTAGAGTAGAAAATAAATCTGTGCAAAAGATTTTGAACTCAATCAAGTGAAGATTGAGCAGCTCCAATTTCGATTTAATTTAACTCTTATGAAAAGTAAATCATGGCAGAAGGAAGCTTTAAATGCTAGTCTATATGAAATGCAAACTGACAAGTGAATTTAAGACTGGTAAAGTCTCCCAATCTATACAATGAGGCAATTCTGAGAGAATCAGAAGTCTTACTAAGATTCATTATTGGCCACAATCTTGACAACTTAATATATGCAGACGACACAGTGTTGATAGCAGACACAGAAAGAAATTACAAGAACTCCAACAGAAAGCAGTGAAGGAAAGCAAAAAGAAAGGGTTAAACATCAACTGCAAGAAGAAAAAATGCAGGGTTGTTAACAAAAGGAACAGCACAACATACCAATTGCAAATTTGTAGATCCAAAATCAAATAATATCTGTCTATATTTCTAATATGAGTAATTATGATTACTTACATTATTTACATTATTCGGACTGTTATCCTCATCTTCATTGCCATATTCACAACGTTGTACACTCCGATATTCTTCAGGGTCTGTCTATATCTCTAACATGAGGTATTATGATTACTTACATTATTTACATTATTAAATTATTATCATCATCTTCATTGCCATATTCACAACACTTTGGACGTTGTACACTCCACCCTTCTTCAGGCTTTGTCTATATCTCTGAGATCAGGTATTATGATTACTTACATTATTTACATTATTAGGACTATCATCCTAATCTTCATTGGTATATTCACAACGTTTTGGCCGTTGTACACTCCGGCCTTCTTCAGGTGATTGGAATTTCGAACCGAACCCTTTGTTTCTTCCACCGGGGTAGATTGTTCTGGGTCTTGTGTCCTCAAGGACACATAGCCCAGTGGATAAAGACGTTGGTTAGATCCAGTGACTAGACCCAAAGAGTTGCGATGTCAATATCAGGACACAGCAGTAGTGAAGCAATCTTGGAGAGTTGAGTTAAAGGGAAATAACTGAAGAGGCATGGCACGTGGAACTTGAGGTATTGTTTAGTTTATGAATTTTCGTTTTTTTTTTTTACAAAATTTCACTCAATACAAGGCTCGAGTGTCACTTAAGGTAGAGGATTACTGTCATAACAGTAACGATAATTAAGGCAAATGAGGAAGAGGACTTCAAATTTCTTAGAATTTATCAATGACAAATGAATAAAGCCTTATTATTGAAGGCTCCATTTGGTCGTGTAAGCATACATGGTGCATTTGCATGAATCTATCATTTTTTTCTTGATTTCTGTGATTGTATACACAAATTTACTTAATTTTCCTTCAAACCACATCAAGAAATTTTAAAGAGCACAAATTTGAGTGTTATATTTTTATTTCACTTCATACACCTGTTGCTGAAGCAATAAATACACCTTTTACTAAATGTAAACCAATCGAAGGCCCGTGAACCACTCAATGTAGAGGGTTACAGTCAAAATGGTAATGATGAATGGAAGAGATGGTGGTAGGAAGGGAAAATTTTGAGGATAAGATGACAATGACCCTTGACTTGAAGACGTCATGATTGAAGTCTTCAGGGAATCGCCCACACTGGGGTCTGTTCCACAAATTGGCAGTTCTTAGGGAAAATATTTGGGATATGGAGTAAATGAGGATAATGTTAACCAATATTTACATTCAGATCTCCCCCCCATAATTTTCTATCATACCGTCAATAAGAACATCGCTTCAGTCAGATGACTTCTCTTAGATCAGTGCTTCTCAAACTATCTGTTACGGTGGACTGGCATTTCTTTTCTCAATGTGTCACGTATCTGTAACATTTCGTTGTAATATTAATTTATACCGGAAACGATATAGATAATGAATATAATAAAAGTTGACTATTTTTTATCTTCCATTTATTTTGCAAAAAATAATTCAATATCAAAACATAAAAAGTAATAAAAAAATAAGCTTCAGATGATTTCTTAGCATGGCCTGGGCACAGGCTGCATGGCGGTATCTGATGGTTTGCATACCAGCGCCAGTTCGTGGACAACCACTTTGAGTAGCACTGTCTTAGAGGACAAAATACGTGACATAGTATTTTTCCATTGTGTCATTCGATTACTTAGAAATGTCCTGATATATAAAAAATTATAAATCATATTCACCTTCTGATTTCATGTACTTTTAAATTTTCATTCCAACCACAGTGAGAAATTTTAAATGGCAAAATTTGAGTGATATATTTATTAGCAGTTCTTGGAAAAAAAAGTTCATTGGAACTTTCTTACATTTCGGACAGAGAGAAAATGGGGGTGATTCAACTCTGTGGAAGTAGCATTGTGTGTTGTGTCTGAACTGTAGAATGAAATAACAGAGTGCATATGAACATTTGCGATGGCAATAGTGATAAAATAACACCAGGCTAATAATATTTTATTTTTATTCTTTTCTTAATCATTTCACTCCAAGCAAGGCAATAAAACCACTGAGAAACAAAGGAGTTATAGTGAGAATTAGAAAACTTTAGTGAGGGGAAAAGACAATAAAAGAACAGGGTTCAGGAAGAGAGAGGATGGCAGTTGGCATTGCATTAGATTTTTTGAAGAAATAAACTGGTAGAGGTCTAACACTTTCGCCCCAGCCCCTCAATCTCTGACGTCTTACTTTCTGGGATGAGGTGTCTACTCAGTCCGAACCGAACTTAAGGGAGTGGCCGTAGGTCCACTGAACATCCGTAGATTATTCGACCGGTCCACTGGTTTAAACCTGCTTCCTGCCCACGTTGCGTTTAGTTTGATCTAGAAAGCAGAAGTAATGTTCATCCATTCACGGTCGACTGAAGATGTAGACACAGCTGAAGAGTCTGCGCTAAGAAATTTAGAATGCAGCAAAAAAGAAAATTAATATCTGCAGAAAGCCGGACAATCAACTATTCAATGATTGAATTGTTAATGTATTTTATAAAGCAGAAAAGAATAGTATAGAAAAGAAAAGTAATTGATGTAAAAACGCATACACTGGATTAGAGAGAGAGAGAGAGAGAGAGAGAGAGAGAGTTACGATTAACTTGTTAAATCGTCTCAGAACGATATACGACTCTTGCGATGGGGGAATAAGATTTCTCTGCGCGGCTTAAAGTTTATAGTGGCGTTCCTCCTTAGCAGGAGTAACAGTAGTAATAATATTGGTGGTAGCAGAAGCAGCAGTACTTATATCAACAGTACATGTTAGCGGACGCTTCGTTCCAAAATCTGACGTCACTTTCTCTCCTTCTTGAGTCTTCCACTCGACTCTCCACTGTCTCTAGCCCAACTATTGTCCGGGCTAATTCTCTTCTGTCTCTCTCTTCCGTCTGCCTCTTCCGTCTGCTTCTTCTTCAGCATAACTACGCGTTTATGTAGAAAAATCCGGCTGGTTACAACTGAACCTTGGCCCTACTACTTCGCATGTGATTATCACGGGGTTTTGGCTCTTTCAGCCAAAATCATGTGAATTCTAAAGGTCTTCCTTGCTTACTCAGCTCTGTTCCAAGTTTTAATCAAAATTATTTCGACCATTTCCCTTGTCTGCTAATGACCCAGTTCCAATGGGTACAGCTCCTGCCCTAGATCAGGTTTACCATCAGTAAACGAATTGCTCTGATCAATTTCGTTAGTTCAAATCGACTCCAATTTCACTAAAAAAATATACATGTGTGTGTGTTTCCCAGACTCTCTCTGTCACAGAGAATCCCACAGGTGAGAAGTGCAAGAAAAACTGTGTGAAAGAACTTGTAGATAATTAAATAAGACCTTATCATAGGACTTCATCGGCGGTATTCCATATTTGGTCTAATTATTACAAACTGAAGTGGTAAATATTTTGAGAGAGCTCTCCCCACTCTTGAATAACTGTGGCTTTGTGACATAGGAAGAAGCCTACAAAGTGCTGTAATTATTTTACTGAGGTTTATAGCATGTGGAATTAATAAATACCAAACACTCATTGTATAGATCAATTATAACAAATTTACTGTATGAGATAAGGAAATTGAACATAGAACAGTCTGTGTAAGGGGTAGTTTCTCAAAACACCACCAATTACTTCAAAACCCAAAAGATTAATCTAGAAACTTGAGTTATGTTCTTTAATATCCTCTTCAGATCAGAACTTTGATAAAAAAAAGAAAAGAGTGCTGAACTGCTATGTAGTAATGAGCCCTCTTATATGGCAGGGAATGCTGGACAATCTCTTCACAGATTAAGAGAAGAGTGGAAATATGGGTCTAAAAAAGGAAACTGAGAATACAATGGGTGGAGCATATGAATAATGAGGAAGTCTATAGGAAAATGAAAATAAAAATTACACTCATACTCAGAATAAGGAAGAGATAGATATTTTGGGACATATGATGAGGAAGGATGGCTTGGAAAATTTAACACTCACAAGGTATATTGAAAGCAAAAGTGATAGCGGGGGGTAGTGGGCTGGTGAGTTTATGTGAATGCATGGGAAGTGGGAGGGATAGCAAAAAGACAAATATTGCTAAGAATTTTGCAGGACAGAACGTTGTGAAGAGCCATGATCGCCTACATCCCGAAGAAACACAGCACAATAAAAGAAGATTCTACATAGCCATAAATTATTTTACATGTTAATATAGGTTCCTTGATGTTCTATAACCTTTGTCATTTTTCCCGCCCTTGATTTAAACTTCTTTTTATGCTTACAGCTTTAACTTGAAGCAGTTTTTATTTCTTGCTAAAGATCTTTGCCTGAATAATCTTTTCCATTCGCATGTTCATTTCTTTTAATGGTACTATAAGCTTGCTACAGTTGCCTTAGAAAAAACTAGAACTTTGCCACCAAAGGGAGATTGAGAATTCTTGTAAAGATACTTGAGGGACCTCTCCCAGTCTCTAACCAATTTGGTAAATCACCCTATGTTGTTTCTCTATTCCTGTTTGCATCATTTTAGAAAAGAACTGAGAGAGGCCTACTGCATGTTCACAAGGAAACAAAAGGTAAAAATATTACCATGGCAAGAAATGAAAATGTGAAACTGGTTTTCAATATATATGGCATTTTATTCAGGGGTTCATTTGTACGGTCTGTAGGGGCATAGGCAGGTGACACTTAGGACAACTTCTAGTACTTCTCTCATAGCAGACTAATGGATCAAATCTTCCATTCAAAGTGAAAACTCCAACTCTCTCTCCTACCATCCTCTGCCCAACTCTACATAGTTTGCAACTTGCCTACATGTGGTTTAAAACAATCTAACAGGTAGCCTGGAATGATTCTGCCCATTCTAAATTTGACTTTGCTTATATAAGTCTGTAACTGGAACTTCTCAACTTCTTTACAAGTGTCACTTGATACCAAAAGTTTTTTTTATTTATCTTTATTTTTTGTTTTTAGTCAGCATGTGGCCACTTTGAAGATCTTAATATTAGACATTACTGCTGTTCATAAAAACACCAGATATTTCAGACTCAAAATCATTTAGGTTCTACTTGATTTTGCATGTGTTCTAATGACGGTCGAGTCTCATCGTATCATACTATCTATCTGCTTCAATAATCATTCTATGTTTGAATAGTGTTAAATTCTGGCCAATGTCACATGGCTGCCACGGCTACAGTACATCTTTCCTATTTTGCTGCATGTAGACTATTTTTACAGAGAGGGAAGAACCACCATGTGTATTGCTGTCTAATTTTTTGGCACTTCTATGAGAAACATCCAGTAAAGTTAACCAATTACCAATAAGACTATAGTGATTTTCTAAGTGTAGCTTACACGTGGCACAAGATCGAAAGTAGGATCGACCTCACTACTCAGTCGTAATTGTTCTAGTGAGATAAACTCGCTAACCATTACACTGCCTTGAAGTGCCCCACCCTTATGACTATAAATACATATTGTCAACAACTGTCTAGTAAACAGTAATCTAATTCAATCAGTAATGCAAGAGAAATTTCCACAAATTCAATTTCAGATTTCCATGGTCTTGTACAGAATACAACTGCTGTTTGGCAGCATTAGTATTTTCTGAGCATTTTGGGCTTACAGCCACATCATGTTGAACCATCTATTCCCATATGATCCCTGAAGTTAAGCAATGTTGTGCCTGACCATTTGGTGCTGTAAGCTTGAATGTGTTGTGTAATGGATAATGTCCTGAAATTGTTAGAAGAGTCAAGTCAATATGTTTTTTTAAAATTTCGCTCTAATCAAGGCGGAAATGCCACCAGTACACAGGGGGTTCAGTCAGTCAGTTAATTGCCATACGTGATACACATTTGGGTGATCATGACATGACTGATGAGGCAGATTTTTTCCTGCAGTAGGTTGCCATTTTTTTCTGTGATAGACTGGTTGCCAACTAAGGCTAAAGAACCCAGTCTGTTCTGCTACTCAACCCATGGCTGGAGGGAGGAGAAAAGATGGATTTGAACTCAGTTCTCCGAGTTCTCACTGTCATCTGATATCCATTACACCACAATGCACATCCAAACAGGGGGGTTACTGAGAATGAAAAGACTGGGTATAGTTGGCGGGGACTGAAGAAAGGAAAAAGATGAATGGGATTCAAGACAACAGAAGATGGTGAGTGATGTTGCATTTAAATTTTTGAAGATTGTAGTTTTCAGGGAAGCAAGTAAATGGCAGGGAGTTCCACAGGCAGGATGTGTGAGAAAAGAAACTGTTGGTGTAGAATAGGCGGTAGCATGTTGGGTTCGTTATATTCACTTACACGCAAATATCCTTGGGAAAGGTATGAATACACCTCTTCTCTCCCATTCTATGGGTTAATTAGTAGCACTTGTATCACTAAATCATTATTATCTCAAAAAAAAAAAAAAAAATGTAAAAATATTCTCTGGCTTTAAATAACCATAATGTTGATAAGCCATAAAAAATGTATTATTCACATACTGAACACTTTTAAACACTGGTAAAATACTGTCATTGGTCATTTGTTCACTTTTCTACAACCTGATGACATTTAGCTAAGGTCATGGCTCCAATGAATACAGGAAGTACTTCCTGTAGTATGAAATTTAAATTTCATACATTCACCAGAACAAAAAGTAGAGTTTGATTTTCATTTTTCTTTACCAACTCATACAGTAGCATCATCTCCTTCTCCCGCTATATGTCATGTCCTTTCAGGACTGTTTTTCAGTTATGGCTCTCCACAATTTCCTGTTTTTTGTAGGTCTTAGTAAATTTTGTCATTTTGCTATCTCTCCTAAACCCTGTTGTGCCAACCAGTTACAGAAGCTCATTAAGCAGAAGTTATATGCCTTCAATATGTTGTGAGTGTCAAATTTTCCAAGCCACCTTTCCTCATTATGTGCCCAAGAAATTTCAACTCTCTCTTTCTGATGTTATGTATAAGTGTCCTTTTTGTTTCCATTTTCACTAAAACTTTCTCGTTGCTCTTGTTCAGTCTATGTTATTTGCGGCATCCTTCTATAGAACTACATTTTGGTTAACCTCTTTTCCACAGGTCCTAAATGTGCTGGATTAGTGATGGTTGAGCTGTAGCAGAAATAATTGTACTTGAGAATTCTCCATCATTTTTGTAAAATATGCAATAAATATATATATATATATATATATATATATATATATATGTCGACTCTCCTGTCGAATTTGACGTATGAGGGTCAAGCAGATCAGTTTCCAGGAAACCGACGGCCGACAACAGCACAAGATTTGATTATAGTGGTGAAGGCTTCGTGCAGGAACATCCACACTTTTTGAAGGGATGAATATATATATATATGGTAAAAGCATCAAATAAGCAGTATCAGAAAAAAAAAAAAAAGAGACAAAATTCACATTTGCATATATTTTATTTGCAATTTCCAATTAAACTGCTTTGACAAATGTCATGATTTTTCTTACAGTTTTGCAATGATGCTATTCTTTTGTTTCTTATAAATAAAAATACTGACCCACATTTTGAGAACTGGACTTTTGAGCAAGCAGATTTTTTCAAAGAATTCCTTTCAGTCCCTTTAAAAATGACCACATAATTCTAAAGGTTAGAATGTTTCCATGAGAAGTTACAAAGCATTAGTCAGTAAATGCCAATAGCTGAGATGTAAAGTTAACCCACTTGAAAAAAAAGGGAAAAAAAAAATAGTATATTAAAATAAATTCCCCACTTATTTTATGAATAGTTCATTTTTGAATCGGTGAAAGAGAGAATAATATTCAGATTTTATTCAAAGAGAATTCACTTTGGCCATGAACCAAAAAATCTCATATGTCATTCACTTCCTGGCAATGTCATAATTCTTCAAAAACCAATCACAGGCTTCTTTGATACCTGAAAAAAAAAAAAAAAAAAAAAAAAAAAAATGAGAAAATGGGAAATGTTTATTTGGTGGCATCAGAAAATGTATGCAATGTCTACAGGGAAAGGAGTAAAAATGAGTAAACCTTCTCATAATCATTCAGAAATTGAAATAATCTGTGAGGAGTATAAAATCTTAGTATGTTGTTAACCAATTAACTTCCAATTTTTTTTAATGCACATTTTTGGCCCAGGCAGGCATCTTAGGAGTTTATTTATTCCTTATATTTAATTTCAGTAGTTACCATTGTCGTTTTTTATAGAAACTAGAACATCAAATATATATGTATATAAAACATCAAAAAATAATACTGATTAGAAATAATAAAAAATACTTTTCAAAATAGTCATTATTTTTTTACTTTGAAATGTAAAATTAAGACAGAAAGTGTCTTACGGCTAATAATAAAAACTTTAAAGGCTAAGTGTTTTAAAATATATCTCTGCAAATGCAATATATATAAGGATTTCAATGTAAATATAAGAAATAACATGTAGTGAGTTTAATTTTAACAGATCCTCAAATGGGGCTCATGGCAGGTAATGGGTTAAAAACTGATATTTTTAAAAGTATATCTTCATATATAAAAATATATGAAAACAAAAGGAGAGGAAAAACAAGGATAAGATAAAAACAGGTCTGAATTGTTATTATTCTTCACTCTACAGAAGCTCAATTGAGGAAGAAATATATGTTGCCAACAAGTAAAAAACAAAATCTGGGGGTTGGGGTGAAGGCAGAGAAAAATGCTATCAGAGAATCAATAATATGAATTTCAAACAGATTACAGTAACATTTCTTATAAAAAAAACATGCAAAAGACATAATGCAATTTTATAAAGAACACAGTTATCTGAATACATAAATTTAGGCAACAAAAAAAATGGCATCTAAGCAAAACTCTAGAGCCAAAACTTTCTGTTTCTTGTTTAATAGGATTGATTGATTTATTCGTTTTCTACAGCTTAACATCCCTTTGAAGGTTATTTAAAGCCAGAAATCATATTTAGATTGTAAGAACTTTTTGTGGGGGAGATAATAATGATTTAGTTGTAAGTCTTGCTAATTAACCCATAACTGAGGAGAGAAGAGGTGCATTCATACCTTCCCCATAGTTATTTGCATGTAAGCATATATAATGAACCCAACTGGAATTGGAACTTGGATCTTTGATTAAATATTCTCATCCATTGCCACCTACACATCCAAGCTTACAGCACCTAGTATTTCCAAGCAGTCACCCATATAGGTATTGAACAGACTTGACACTGCTTAACTTTGGTGATTGTACAGGAACTGGTGTTTCAATGTAATGTGTCTGTAAGCTGTTTAATAGGGGAGGCATAAAATCTGTTTTTTTTTTGGCTTTTATTATGGCCTCATCTATATAATTATGTAACTTATTATGACCTTATTTTTGTACTTATGTAACTGAACACATTTAAATCAAACTCTTCTGAGATCTTCGGTTTAGCATTCTGAGAAAAATGGTAAATTGACATTTTTATTGAAATACTCATGACTATTAAGATGCTAGGATTGATTTCTCATGCACACCACCATTTTTGCTTTGATCTGACACTCAGAAGTACAGACTAATCTAAATGACATTCTCCAACATGCAATAAAGATATGTCACAAAAAGCTCATATTGTAGACTAAGAGCAATGATGGTCTGAGAATAGCACTAAGCGCTAGTTAGTTTCAAACACAAATGCTAGGTACCAACATTTTACACTCTCTTGAAAACATTATATATATATATATATATATATATATATATATATATATATATATATATATATATATAAGTGTGCAGGTATGTAGAAAATAGAAAAAAAAACATGTTGGATGCATAATCCGGAGTTCCTTAGTATTTTTGTTTTTATTTTTAAGAAGACAATGCTCCATACAGAGGTAGAGCTTATATTATATTTTTTTGTTTAAAAATATGATTCCTTCGCTACATAAGAGTTCTCATGTTTCAAAAATGAGAGCCGAAACCATCCAAATAATTATCAAAATTAAGTTGAATTGAGGTGTTTAGTCCTGTTTTATCTTCAAGTGAAATTTTAGGAATTTTAGGTTCCTAAGATTTTGCTAATTTGATACTTCTATTAGCCTTCTGCCTCTTTTTGGCAAAGTACAAGAGGTGCTAAGTAATTGTGAATTGGTTAATCATCTCACATTGCAGAGTCTTTTTTCAGATTAGCAATATGGTTTTCACTTCTCTAGGTCAACTGCTGATGTGTTAATTATTATTGTTGAAAGTGTCTATCAAGCTTTAGATAAGAATGCTGAAGCCCAGGATGTTGCTTTGGATATCTCAAAGGCATTTGAGAGATTTCGGCATATTGGTCTTCTTCATAAGTTGAAAGGTTATGGTATTTCTGAAGAAATTTTTGAACTGATTCAGTCTTTCTTATCAAATCACAAAATGAAGGTTGTTTTGAATAGCCACTCTTCTAGATCTTTTGCATGATCTATCCTTGGACCTGTATTGCTTCTAATTTTCATAAATGACATCCTTAATGTCATCAGTTCTCAACTCAGTATTTAAGCTGAGGACAGTGATTTTTAATCAACTGAGAGAACTCTTTTTACTTTCCATCAGCATGGCTGATGCTGACCTCCAGAAGAGTGACTTGTTACACATTCTTGGACTAACTTTTCTCTTGCTTCCCAGTAAATTTTGATCTTCAAAAATTCTTGTTCTTTTAGTCCTTTCTCCTTAATAGTAGTTTTCTCATATTTTCTACCACTTGCATCTTAATGGCTTTATTGCCTTGCTTTGTGCGAGATGATTTAAGAAAAAGACGCAACTGGTTATGAAAACATTATTAAAGAGAGACATTAATAAAAGTAGAGAAATTAAGAAGAGAGAAGATAACAATAGACATTGCATTTAAATTTTTGAAGATCAAAGTTGACTGTGAAGAAAGAAACTCAAAGAGAGTTCCACATCCAAGAAGTATGAGATAAGAGATGGCATGGAACTTACGGTTTACTGTTTTGGTCGTAAAATTACTTGCCTCGGTTTTCTTGGTTTTCTTCCTTTCCAGATGCCTCTGCTTAAATAGTTTTCTATTTTCATGCACAAGACTTTTAATAATAGAACACAAGTTTCCATTCATTTGCCATCTTTGAAACTGTTTTGGGCAATAGTATTCTCTTGTTTTTTCACTGAAACCAAGTAGCATCTCTAATGTATCAGTTCTGTTTGTTCATGTGGTCAAAACAGAATTATTTATGAGGTACTGACCACGTGTAACATTCATGTATACTAATGAAAGAACTAACAAAGGTAGGGATAAGCAGAATTATAATAAAGATTCACTTTTGAACTTCATTAAATTAACACCAACTGAATCAAACATATTTGCTTTCAGGTGTTTCTTCATACATTCAATAGGAATTTTGTCTCTTCCATCTCAGGTTAGGTGTTTAAATAACATCTTTGTGGGTAATTCAGTTTCCCCCTCCCCATCGTTTGAGATGACTGAAATGGATTAAAGTGCTTGCTTTCGTCCAGTCCTCCTGTCTACCAACTGAGCTGTCATTAGTGACCTCTTCCTTATTCTCCTTAGAAACAAAGAAAATATTAATGAACTGTTATATAATACCGGTTCTGTGGGTAATTCAGTTCCCACGTCGTTTGTGATGACTGAAATGGATTAAAGTGATTGCTTTCGTCCAGTCCTCCAGTCTATCAACTGAGCTGTTGCTAGTGACTTATTCTCTCAGTCTCGTTAGTATGTATGCTGTCACACCAACAATGAGTCTTCTCTCATCTTCCTCCCAGAATCGCTATTTATCCCGCGTCGGGGGGCAACTAAAATTTGCATATATGAGACTTACTTCTCGTTCGCCTGAGACTTCCGGTTTTATAAATTCAAGCTGGTTTGAATTCTTAGTCTTTTTTTTTTTTTAATATTTCGTTTGAACGTCTGCCCGGGAATTTCGGAATAATATAAATTATAAATTCAAGCTGGTTTGAATTCATAGGTTTTTTGTTTTTTTTTTCTTTTGTACGCCTGCCCGTGATATGGAAATTTTGGAATAATCCATATCTCTTTTAATGCCGGCCACAATCTTTCAACAGCTTGACACGCCAAGCAAACTTGCTTTGTGGGAGGTAAGTCTTCTTGTTCCTCACATCAGGTTGTCTTATGTGGGATATATCCTAAGTTCAGCCTGGGTTCACATCCTGTTTATGATGGTGCAACCAATGACGTCCTTTGAGGTCCAATTTCAACACTTCAAGGCACCTACTTTTTTTTTCTTTTTTTTTTGACATTCTGAGGTGACACTGAGTACAAAACATACATTGGTATCTCTAAAGCTAAACACAGAAGATACTGGGGACACTACTTACTTAGATTAAGTTTCTTGGACATTAAACATAATTCAAATCTCTGGTAATTCCTGGCATGAACCACATACCACAGTTGCATAAATCACTTAAAAATAATCTTAGTAAACATTTATTGAAAGATGATTTTATAAACCTTAGAATATTTGGAAATTAAAAGATGATTTCAGTTTTTCTTACCTTCTTCAATTGGTGTGAATTTAAAATCTGGAAGATATTTTCGCAGTTTAGCATTGCTGGCAGTTTTCTTGAACTGGCCGTCTGATTTACTTGTATCATACTAATGAATATGTCAAGGGGTTTTTAATACAAATTCTTAGTTTTCTATGGAAAAAAATCACATCATCACAGAGCAAAAACCTCGTTAGTGCATGCAAACACTTTTGGGTGGTTTAAAAGTTTGCTGATCCATATTTAAAAAAATATGACATCCGTTTAGGGATGAAGGGGATAATACTTCTCTACAGATTCCTTTTTTTCCTTATCTCTGAACTGCCATGATTTCTTCGGAGAGTGAAATTCAGTGTTCTTATTCTCCTAGGCATGTTACAAACTAAGGCTAGAGACTGCAGTCTACTATGCTATTTAACTCATAGCTGGGGGAAGGAGAGATGGATTAATACCTTTCCCAAGAGTATTTGTGCGAAAGTGAATCAGGCTGGAATTTGAACTCATCTCTCTGACCTCATTTTCTGTACGATATTATGAGTGAAGAAGAAATGGATGCATGCCTTTCCTGAGGCATTAGTATGAAAGTGAATGCAACAGACAAGGTTAGAATTTGAATTCAGCTCTCTGACCTCTGCACCATACCCAGAGGAACAAGAGATGGATTCATACGTTTCTCAAGGGAATTAGTGTGAAAGTGAATGCAACAGAAAATGATGGAATTGAAACTTGACAATTTCTCTTTCCATGCTGATATCCTATACACCAGGGGTCAGCAACCTTTTGCTAACTATGTGTCCACTTAGGTTTTGAAAATCATTCAGCAGATGTATTTTTATATGAGTCATGGTCAATATACCCATTCTACAATATATTTTATATAGTAATATATAGTATATATACTTTAGTATATATTAAAATTGAAACAGTGTTGTAGTAGTTTCTGGCTTTGTGGTGTCATTTGTGGTTGCATGCAATTAGAAATTGCTTCGTGTGACACACATTCTGTAGGTTGCTGACCCCTGCTATATGCTGCTTGCACTCTTTTAGACACGAATAAAAAGAAGAATAGTTCAAAAGTAATAAATAAAACCCATAAATGAAATTCAGGAAGAAGACCAGCGAAGATTAAAGATTGGATAAAATTAGATTTAATAAAATGAATTTTAATGTCTTTCATTTTTCTGACACTGGTTAAGGGATGACATAAGTAAAGTTTTTTATAAGTTTGGAAGATGGAATCAGATGAAACTGTATACAGGGTGCGATGAGTAAATTGTCGCCATTTTATATTATTCATTTTTTTTTTTTTGCCAACTACATAGTATAGTAAGGTCAATTGAGAAAAAGAGCACCATGATGCAACTCACTCCACTGTGCTGGAAGATACAATATAAACATTTCAGTGTGTTTGGGTGTCAATCTGAGGACAGTGCAGAGAATTCGGAAATCGTTGGATGAGTCTACTATTGATTTCTCTTTCATCTTACCATGTAAAGTAATTTTTTGAAATTTCCATCTTAACTTTGCTTTGAGGCAAGTGTGTGTGTGTGTGTGTGTATATATATTATATAAAAAGAAATATAGTTTTAATGTTTGCTATATTTATCGAATGAAGTGGTCAATATCAGAGATAGAGTGAATGTAACTATAAAAGTGAACATTGAAGTCAACACACAGAAGTGACAGGCTGTTTTCCTGTTAAATGTGGCTTGATGATTACGTCTAGCATGAAACAGCCTGTCACCTCTGATGTTCACTTTTATATATATATATATATATTGTTCATCTGCACATAAATTTAATGTCAATCATATATCTAAATTTTTTTTGCATGGTAAGCTGGCAGCTGATCTGATTTCGATGCTTTCCAAACAAGGGATATTTGGCCTTTTACTAAGTTAAAACTTTATAGCTATCACACTCATCCTTAATCTTTGCCCTGTATCCTCAGTCTCATGGTTCTAATGAATTTGCAAAACAACTGTCAATTCCCACCTTGTGTCTGTGATAGAAGTAATTGTATTTTAAGTCCAAACTCTTTTTTTATTTCTTTCTCAAACAGAATAAATAACTTCCTTATGCATACCCCCATCCTAACGACTATACTTTTGACACTAACTCAAATGGATGTAGGGGGATGTACACACATCGCCGACCAACCCGTTTACCCCACTCACTCTTCCCAATGAGTTTTTAGTCCTCATGTATATGAGCAAGCTTGCCTCTTTGGTACCTGAGGTCTCTGGCTGGTATGATGTACCTGACCCAAGCATTCTGTTGCCTTGACTTTGAGGCAGACAAGACATGTACACTCAGAGTATCATTACTGAATCTTTCTGGGGTTTTTTGTTTTCTCATTGATGGTGCTGGAGTTAATGTTTTCTGGGTTTTGGTGTGATTGAAACCTATGAGTAACTCTGAAGGAGGCTATCTTATCAGTATCAGGTGTATAATATCAGGTCTATTGTACTGCCATTTTGTGAATGGTATGAAAAATTTGTATGACATTAACAATTGTCAGTTTCTTTATTTCTCTTCATGTCCAAGATTTTCCAACAGGATTCTTTCCAGCCATTCAAGAGCAGCTCCTCAAAGAGTTCTTTAAGCCACAACAAATACGACTAGATGACACCAACTACCATATTTGCCTAGAGACAGAGAAATTCATCTGTGAGGAATAAATAACAGGGTAGAGGTCAATGACTTATAAGAAAATGTTTGTCTTTGTATTAAATGTAAAAATTCTTTTTAAAAAAATGTAGAAAACATTTTGAAATCTATGTAACACTATTGAACTTGCAATGTTGGAGATGACTGTACATATGATGAAAAGGTATCATCAAAAGGATACAACAACTTTGCCTTTGAAGTTCATGGATTTTACAACCAATTCGGCAACATCTTTGATGGAAATTTCATCCTCTTCTCCAACTAAAAAAAAACAAACAAAGTGAAATTGATTTTAATTAAGAATAAAAGATACAAAATCAACATGAATTTTAACTTTTGACAATAGTTCACTACATAGGTAAGTTTTCATTAATTTAAAAAGTTGGGTTGAGTCGGTTTATTTCATGATATAAATATTGGTTGTTTATATCTGAATCTGTAAGTATTTACTTGGTTCAGGGGATAGGTAAATATTGCAAGCAAATTCATAAATCAATGCTTTAATTTACAAAGTTATTGTCCCATAATTGTGGGTTCAATCCCTGGTTTGGATAGTACAAACTCACACTCAGTGGAAACAGGCCGAACTAAGATTCGGTGGAAACTGAACTACTAGAAAAAGAATCAAGATATCCCAACACATGAACAGTGGAACAAGGATAATCTAACCATGAAAATTCAGTAAAGGGTTAGTTCAAAATTCCCTGAAAGTTACACAGATTGGCAGATACCTGAAGAAGGTCAGAAAGTAAAATGGATGAAATTTTGTGATAATAATAATAATAATAATAAAAATGAAGAAATTAGTCCAAATGCAAATAATGTAAATAAAGGAATAAACTTAGATTAATATTTTTAGGTTAAGTAACAGGTCATTGCAAAAGTCAGTGCCTGATTTCCATTGTGAATATAAAATGATGACAACTTGACATTGGTGTTTGTTTTGGTGCTGATCTCTGGTGTTTTTGAGATTGAAACCATTCATCCTTCATTTGCAAGTTAGACATTGTTGAATGTTGATGTTTTGTTTACAAATGAAGACCTTAAAGATAGAGGATGAAAAGTTGCACTTTCACCATATTATGAGATATGAATTTTGGAACAGAATTAGCATCAGAACAACAAAAAAAAAAAAACATTCAAAAGGTTTATATGGATTGTGCTCCAGTTTTTCAAATGGTCAAGAAATCATCTGGCAGATTTTGTCATGGTGATTTCAACCTGAATGATCAAACCCAATCCAACTGACCTTCTGGCATCAATGAAGACACTCAGCTTGCCATCACGAAGAATAAACCAAAGAGATAGCTAACAGCTTGATAATTGATATCTCAATTACCTTTGACCATTTGAAGACATTTCCAAACTTGACAAATGTGTGTCATATTATTTGATGTCACAGAACAAACTTAACCATGTTTCTATGGCAATTCGTTTGCTTTTATACCACACAAAGAAGCCATTTTTGTATTGACTTGTCATAGGCAATGAAAAATGGATATTATGATAATGATTGATGCAAACAGGCTTGAAACAAGCTTCAGAATATACAAAATCCATGGTTAAAGCTCGCATCCAATTAAAGTGTTGTTGTCCATTTGGTGAGATTGCAGAGGGATAATTGACTTTCAGCTTTTTCTATTTGGCAAAACAATAAATGCAAAGAAGTATTGCAACCAACTGAGCAATCTCAATGCAGCTATTCAAGAAAAATGGCTGATTTTGGCAAATCAATATAATGTCATTTTCCACCATGACGACATAGGATTGGATGTTGCAAAACAAACCTTGCACGGACTTAAAGAATTTGAAATGGGACCCCACCCTCCAGCACCAACTGTCTTCTCCTGACTTGGTTCCTTCAGAATTTCATTTGTTCCGGTCTCTACAGAACAATTTAAACGACAAAAAAATTTGAACCTGTATACACTGTTGAAAACTACCTCACAAACCTGAAAATGGTATCAACAAACTTGTAGGATGACGGGAGACTGCTGTTAAAAACAATGGAAACTATGCACTTGACTAATAAATGTTCTTTTGCGATTATATCAAATTTTGCTTTTAATTATCTAATAGGGCACCAAGTTTTGCAATGATCAAATATATGCTTAGAAACTGATATAAAAAAAAAGAAAGAAAGATTTTTCAGCTTAAATTATTTAGTTAGTGTAAAATCGATAGAAAAAAAACTCAATAAAATTTCTAAATTTGAAACCCAAGATATAAAAATGTAAATATTAATAGATATATACAGTGTACTTCAGAAATATGTTCCATATATACCTCCCACATATTGGTAATACATTAGCTAGACAAGGACACCATTGCCACTAATGTCTTACCATTATGTGGGAAGTATTTCTGCTGCACCCTGCATAACTGGTCATTACCTATCCCCTGTCTACTAGGGCGGCTAGCTAATCCTTGCAGCAGATTCCTGCTCAGGCATATTTTGTGTCTGTTCAACACCTACAAAGTCTACCTGTGGTTTATACTGCAACTATACAGATTGGACTTTAGTTACATTTTCTGGGAGAAAGCACATAACCTGGCATGATTAACAGTTTGGACAAAACCTGTACTCTTAAACCTTCGGTCACAATGACTTGTGACTTCATGCTAGCACAACCACCGACAGCTTCCGAATAGTTCTGCCTGCTCAGTTTCACTCAGAAACCCGGAGCCTTATGGTTACCAAGCCAATTCAGATGGTTCTGCTCATTTATAATCAACCAATATTTACCTATTCCCACCAATTTCAAAGAATCTCTATGGCTTCTTCTGATGATTAAAACTGATACTATACCATCAATTGCTCATTATACTTGTTGATATTAAAACAATAATGAAATAATAATAAACTATCTTTATAGAATTCAAAACAATATTAAAAATAGACAATGATAACAATAAAAAAAAAAAAAAAAAAAAGGAAGAAGATGTAAATTTTCTGGGGAAAATGTGTGTGTGTGTAATTTTGATTTAGAATTTCTGGAAACATGAACAAAAACGTTAACTTACCTGATAAAATAATGGGATCAATTTCATCGTAATTTCTCATTACCCATATAAATAAACGTGCCAAATCAATTGAATATATAAATTGTCTCAAAGGTGCACCAGTTCCCCAGATCACCAGTGGTTCATTATTTTCTGAAACAGTGAAATGTTATTTACAAATATCGACTGTTAATGCAAAATGTCATTTTTTTTGACTATATAAAACACAGCAGTATACTTTATAACATTAATCTTCTAACAAAGAAAGAAAAATTCAAATGGAAAGCGACAAATTTAAGTCAATTTGATGCACAAATACGAGTCCTATAACCTATTATGGTTACAGGTATATCAAAAGTCCTTTTTTTATACAAATGTTCACTCAATACAAGGCCCAAGAGCCTTTCAAGATAAAGGGTTTCTGTGTTGCATGAGCTTAAGAAATAGGCAAAAAGTGAAGTTCATGGGGTTATGTAGGAAAGATAATAGTTAAGCCGCGATTTGGATAGGTCAAGCTTGCAGGGATTGGGAAAACATCCTCTCGGGAGTCTGTTCCAGCAGCAGTTCTTGAGAAGAAGATATCCAAGTAGAATGTACTTCTTACTAATGAAATACGAAAGAAATGGGGATGGCTCGAACTTGTGTATGTGGCATGGTGGATCCCAGTTGTAAAGGTCAGTGGTGGTGGGAATAAAGAATGTAGCTTGGAAATAGCAAAAGAGCAGCAAGAGGCTTATGGTTTATGTGGGAAATGGGTTGTAGGGTGAAAAATAATTCATCACCCACAAGTCTGCATAGGCCCTTCTGAACACTATCAAGACAGGCAAGTGAGGATTGGTCAGCTCTAGCCCAGATATGGCAGCAATATTCTATTTTGCATCTGATTTGGCTCTTGTAATGAGTATAGCAGGGAGCCAGGTACTTACTAGAATGGTAAAATGACCTGACCATTTTTCCAGAATCTTTTGCAATAGATTGGATATATGAGTTTCACTTCGACTGGGGAGAGTTTGAGTCCCAATAGACATTCAAAGCAAGGAGCCTCCTTGAGAGAAGACCCAACCATTATGATAGGTAGAAGTTCAGAGTCTGCTTGGTGGTGTGTTTAGGACAAGATAGAAACAATCCTCTTCGGGCTGGTTATGAATTTGGAGTTGTCTTCCTCCTTGACTGATTGCCTTGCCAAGGCTAAAGAACCCAGTCTGCACTGCTATTTATGAGGGTTTGAATTTAGAGTTTTCTCTCTAGGTCAGGGGTCGCAAACAAATGGCCCTCATGAAGCCTGTGGGTATATTTTGCTGCAACCTGTAGTGGACCATTTTTGCAATTATTATTTTCCTCAAATTTTAATAAGTTTAATAAATTTTATCCCTTAGCCCTTCCATACTTTTGCAGTAGCAGCATTGAGCTTCACCTTCCCAACAAATGTAAAATGACATGCAATCAATTTCAAAGTTAACACGGTCTGTCCCTGTTCCCATCCAGGGATGGGGAAAAAATCTCAACCACCCACCATGTATTTTACATCAGCTATACCACTGGTTAGACCTGGCAATGGGCCCATTTCTGATCCACCTTTCCCAAAGCATCTAATGACCATTTTGCATCCTTGAGTGTGAAATTCCTACCACCCAAGGCATGAGTACAGGTTTTCTTGCTATTTAGCATGTATTTGGAGGAAGATAATTTTTTGCCTTTTCCAAGGGTATTAGTGCAAAGTCAACAGACTTGACCTGCCGATTCAACTTTCCATGCTGATAACCAATACATGGTATGGACATCTATCGATTCAACTACAGGATGATTGTTTAAACAAGAATTAGATTAAGTATCATAATGAAAATAATATTAGTACAATGATGTTATACAATAAAAATAGGTCTGGAACATTGTGCTAGATGGTTGCAAACCCTACAAGAATGTTCATCTATCCTTTGACAAGTCTGGTTTTTAATTCTGTTAGGTGTCTATAGTCACCCTCTTCACCAAAAAAGCTTGTTCAGAAAACTAGTATAGCTACCAATGATCTGACCGTGTGGCAGTTAGAATAAAAATTAGTTAAAAAGATTTTATTTTTAATGACAATTTATGGTAATTAAAAAAGATTTTATTAAAAAGCACTAATTAATAATTTAAATTATTTTAATGTTAAATTTTATTTTTTTCATTAATTATTTATAAATTCATAAAATTTACTTGCATTATTTACATTACTCTGACTGTTATCCTCATCCTTATTGTCATATTCACAATGTTTCGTCCGTTGTACGCTCTAGTATTCTTCAGATAATTGGAATTTCAAACTGAACCCTTTATTTCATCAACGAGGGTAGATTGTTCTAGTTCCACATGCCATGCATCTTATGGATGTCTCAGTTATTTCCCTTTAACTCAACTCTCCAAATTTTTTTGGTACACCACTGCTGTCGCCTGGTATTGAACTCACAACTCTTTGGGTCTAGTCACTGGATTTAACAAATGTCTTTATCGGTTGGGTATTCAAGGATGCATGGCCCAGTGGATAAAGATGTTGGGAAGGTGTAGTGAACGAGATAATCAAGTACCCGGAAAAAAGTTCGTGTTTTGTGTGCGATCTGCGGGGAGGGATTGCCAAAAAGAAGTCAGCAAAACTCTTATAGCGACTTACCTCGTCAACCCAAGCGAAAAAGAAACAAGTTCGTCAGAGGAGTCGCTATAAGAGTGTATTAATATGCAAATTACGGAGCATCCTATCCCGGCTGTCGATTTAATGGAAAAATAGGTTCTGCCGATAAAAGCAGTTGGCGTTGTCGACTCGGGAGGAAAATTCGGGCAGTTTTGCATACGGCGTTCGTGAGTTATTTTCCTGACGTGTTACAAGTGATTTTCTTTCTTTGTGTGGTGAAAGCCACAAATTTGCTTTGAGAACGCTTACTCTTCAAGCTATTTCGGCATTTACTTTGTCTCTCGTGAAGATGGCGGAAAGACCGTTCGATATAAAACTGATCCCGAATTCAGTGGTGATACTAGTGGACAGTCTGTGGTTGAATGGATCGAAAAGGTGGAACTGGTCTACGAATTATGCGAGATATCGAAGATTGATTGGATTCTTCCTCTGCGATTGAATGGCGGTGCCCTTGCTGTGTATAGGCAGCTGAGTAAAGAACAGAAAAGCGACATTGAGCAAATAAAGCACGCTCTACTAACCGCGTTTGGAACTGGACGGTTCGTGGCCTACGACCAGTTCCAGGCACGGCGTCTGCGACCTGGCGAGACAGTAGACGTATATTTGGCAGAATTAAAGAAGCTCGCCGTTCCAATCGCACCGCTTCCTGAAGAATGGATGACATGTGCCTTCGTTTCTGGATTGCCCAGTCATGTTAAGCAGATACTCGCGCAGATCATCCAGAATGGAAGACCTGACGCTCAATCAATTGTTGACCAGAGCCCGTGCTGTCATGATCGACGAAAAAGAGGCTGATGAACCAGTGGCGCAGTTATTCAACCAATTGAAGTCAAAGAAGGTCCGACCCCAGCCATTCGTCACCATGGCGTTGCCACCTGCTATCGGTGCTCTGGGCGAATCATTTTGCCAGAGACTGCCGCTATCAACGAAGAAAATGCGAAGCGGTCGGGGCGAAAGGCACGCGTCTCGATCTCGATGCTTTCAATGTCAGAATATTCGGTGCCCGAACGCGTCAAGGAAGAATACCAGCTAATTGCAGGTGTGGCTGGATAACGGATGGCTGACTCCATATCCCGAGGAAGAGCTTTGGTCCTCCAAGAGGCCTCATCCCGTTGATGGCCGTGGTACAAAAGAACAAGGGAAAGGTCGCCCTGTACTAGATTATAGAGAACTGAACGAACATGTAGACACATACACAGCTCATGCTGATGTGTGTGCACAAAAATTGAGAGAATGGCGAACTAAGGATCCAATGTCTCTGTGATTGACCTTGAAAAGGCCTACTTGCGAGGCACGTGCACCGGGTCACTGTGGCCATTTCAGGCGGTGATTCTTAATGGGATGAGGTACTGCTTAACCCGAATGGGATTCGGACTCAATGTGGCGCCGGCCATCATGAAAGCCATCGTGGATGCTGTGCTATCCCAGGATGAGACAATTCGTCTGCGGCGCCAGCCTACATTGACGACATCTACATCAACGAAACCTTAGTACCCGCTTCACAGGAGAAAGCATCTTGCTGACTTTGGGCTCGAATGTAAAAACCCAGAACGACTGGAGGATGGTGCTCGGGTGCTCGGCTTGCAGGTCTGGGGGGGAGCACAACATGCTTTACTGGAAACGGGAAGCGAGCTCCCGGACATTCCCAAACACATGACCCGACGCAGCGTGTTTTCGTTATGTGGAAAGCTGGTGGACATTTTCCGTGGGCGGGTGGATCCGCATTGCAACTGCATTTATTAAACGTGGGGTGACTGCTGTCACTTCCGGTTGGGATGACACAACCAATGATGCCCCCTTAGACACATGATAGGGGGAAGTCATTATAGGGGTGCGTCAAGACGACCCCGTGACGCGGGTAAATGGTGCGTTGACGGATGTGAATTTAACGTCTGGTCGACGCGAGCTCCCTTGCAACAGGAGTGTCTCTTGAAGTAGGTGACACTGTCATGGAAGATGCGTGTTGGTTGCGCCCCGAGAAGGATACGCAACATATCAACCTGTCAGAATTAGACGCCGTTATCAGGGAGTCACCGCTGCCCTTCAATGGAATGCAAAGGTATTGCATTTATTCACGGATTCCGCATGCGTGTATAAGTGGATAGCAGACACTCTTACGGGAAGGCTAGGATACGACAAAGGCTGCGGCGAGATGCTCATTCAAGGAGGCTAGACACACTGGGAAAGTTGGTAAGTGAATACCACTTATCCGTAGACATACAGCTGGTCAGATCACAGCAGAACAAGGCCGATACTTTAACAAGGGTACCCCAAAAATGGCTTGACGCTATTAAGAAAGAGGTAGAGCCGGTAGAACATGTCTGTGTAACATCAACGAAGTAACTATAACTCAGATTTACTAAAATCTGTGCATTGCCAAAGCGGACATCCCGGTGTAAACGGACCTTATATTTCGTGGAGGCAGATTGATCCCTCCGTATCCAAAGCTGCTGTCAGGGCAGTGGTCAGAGAATGCAAGGAGTGTCAGTCCATCGACCCAGCACCTGTGCAATGGCAAAAAGGACAAGTGAGTGTAAGCAAGGTGTGGCACCGTGTTGGAATGGACATCACCCATTATAACGGACATCACTATTTAACACTGATTGATTGTGGCCCAACCCGGTTCACTATTTGGCGGCGTCTGCGTCGACAGGATTCCATAAGCGTCATTGACCACTTGGGGTCATTGTTCTTTGAACGTGGACCTCCGACGGAACTCCTCACTGACAACGACACTGCATTCCGCAGTGAACTATTCAAAGATTTTGTGGCCGTGGGGAGTACACCTCAGATTTCGCCTCGCTGCGTATGTCCCATCAGGGAATGGCATAATCGGCGATGTCATCGGAGCATCAAAAGAATCGCTGCTAGGAAGCAGTGTTCCATAATGAGGCGGTGTATTGGTACAATGTTACTCCGAGAGACAATAATGTATCGCCCTCAACCGCGCCCAGCCAACATGATTTATCAGTATAAAGTCCGCTACGAGGCATTGACGCAACGCGTTCAACTGAACGGATAAACGAACGAGCGCCGTATGACTTGGGCGATCGCGTGTGGGTGAAATCTCCACATAGCGGTGTACAACCCGGTACCGGGTGGGGCATGTCACTGGACTAAGTAACTCGCGTTCTGTGCTGGTTGATGGCATACCAAGACACATAAAGGACTTGCGCCACTATGTAGGTACAGATACGTCAACAAGTGACACTAGCAGTGAGTGCTCAGAAAGTGAACAAATAATTACCATCGGAGGTAGGGCTAGCACCCCTTCAGATGGTGAAGACTCTGTGCGTGAGGTTGTCAGACCAGAAGAATCCTCAGAAGAAGAATCTTCAGAACATTCTTCAGATGATGAAGACTCTGCGCATGAGGTTGTCAGATCAGAAGAAACCTCAGAATATAACACACAATCTCCTCCCACAGTTGCCCGCTCCGGAGAAGCTTAAGAATAAAGAGGCTCGCCCATGAGTGTCACTTATGTGACAGGGGGAGTGTAGTGAGCGAGATAATCAAGTACCCGGAAAAAGTTCATGTTTTGTGTGCGATCTCTGCGGGGAGGGATTGCTAAAAAAAGTAGTCAGCAAAACTCTTATAGCGACTTACCTCGTCAACCCAAGCTTAAAAAAGAAACAAGTTCGTGCGAGGAGTCGCTATAAGAGTGTATTAATATGCAAATTACGGACATCCTATCCCGGCTGTCGATTTAATGGAAAAAAATAGGTTCTGCCGATAAAAGCAGTTGGCGTTGTCGACTCGGGAGGAAAATTCGGGCAGTTTTGGCTACGGCGTTAAGTGAGTTATTTTCCTGGCGTGTTACAAGTGATTTTCTTTTTTTTGTGTGGTGAAAGCCACAAATTTGCTTTGAGAACGCTTACTCTTCAGAAGGGAATGAGAATAGTTTGCTACATAGTATTGTGGATCTTAGCCATAAAGGTTAGAACTTGTGGAACTAAGGAATGTAGTTTATCTGAGCACTTTCCATGGAAATATCATTAGAGTAGAGAGAGGCTTGCAACATTTCATCTGTGAGAAAGGGTAAGGTGGAAAATAATTCATTACCTACAATGGTGCTGAGACACTTTGGGGCTCTATTGAGACAAGAAAGTGAAGACTGGGCAGCTCTGGCCCATATATCCCTGCCGTACCCAATTTTTGGCCTGATCTGGTTCTTGTAAAGGTAGAGAATACCAGGAGGAGTCAGCAGCGATACAGAGAACTGACCATTTTTCCAGCATCTTTGGTGATAGATCACATTGTATGAGTTCCACTTGAAGTCTGAGTCCAAACACTCGTCCATCACGATCGGTGAAAGTTCTAGTACTCTAAGCATATTTTGAATGATCACCATCCGTTTTTGTTCTGCCATCAATTCACACAAGCTCATTAAATTACTCAGTTTCTTTCTGCTTCTTTTGCTTTCATTATGCCCTATGAGTGTTGTATTCTCTAGACCCTCTTTTCTTTTTCCTTAAAACTTCCTCACTGCTCACATATTCTGTCTATGGTATTCTAAGCATTTTTTTTAATAGAAGCAAATCTCTATTGTTTCAAGTTTCTTCATCTGAGTAAACAATGCCAAGCATTTACCGTTATAGAACAGATTTAATTTTACGTGGCAGTTCAATATTCTTTTCTGCATTTCTAACAAAATCTTCCTGTTTTTATTTTGCTTAGTTTCTGGAAATCATCTTTTATTATTCCCATATACCCTGTACCTTTTTTATAAATATTTTCATCGTAATTGTTCTGAAGAGCTTTCCTCTTTAGCACCGTTACTTATGAATTTAAGTGTACTACTAGATTGGCGGCAGGAAATAGGTTTGCCTATTGTCTGGTTTACATCCCACTTAGATCTTGGTTTCTGGTTCCTTCTAAAGTCTTTACATTGTCTTTCATTCCTAGTAACCCCTGGTGTCTTAGTGGCATTATGGCCTTGGTTCGGGTGAGCTGATTAAAAAAGAGGAAAAAAAAAAGTCACATCATTTTACAGACAAAATGGCAAAATATAAGTTCTATGCTAACAGTTTGTTCTATTGCATGTCTCTCTTGTGGAACTCTCTTCCAGCTTATAGCTTTCCAGTCAATTTTGATCTTCAATTGAAATGCAGTGTCAATCGATATCTGTCTTCTTAATTCCCATTCTTTTATCATTCTCTCTCCATAATGTTTTCTTTTTTTATATTCTCTCATATGTGGTATCTCCTTGTGTCTAAGTGGCTTTATTGCCTTGTTTGAAAAAAAAAAAAAAAGTAAAAAAAGCCCTTTGGATTTCTGCATTCCATTTTCCATTGTCTGTTAGTATACTACCATGATAGTTATGTTTCTGCAGCTGATTGATTCTGATGTACCTAATATGTTTGGTTTGGTTTGGTTTGGTTTACGGCATATCAACCTCATCAGGTTATTTAATGTCGACAACATTTTTAGGATAGATTTGTATGAATAAAACATGTATTCTTTGGTTTAGATTGGTTTATTTTGTTTTACAGCATATCAACCTCACTGGGTTATTTAAACAATATTTTTGGATAGATTTGTATAAATAGAATAAATTTTTTGTTTAGTTTATTTTGTTTTTAATACTGATGAAATTTTCATTGTTGGTAATATTTTTTTCCAAAATTCTATTTCTGATTGGTTGATTGGTTTGTTTTAAGGCATATCAACCTCAATGGGTTATTTAATGCCAACAAAATTTTTGTTGCTGGTAATATTTTTTTCATTCATAAATCTATTTTTGGTAATATTTTTTTCTTCAGAAATGTATTGCTGGCAATAATTTTTTTAAAAAAGTATTTCTGGTATTAAAACCTATTTCTACACTTTCATAGCTATTTGCCTATAGCTGGGACCTTAACAGGTACTAACACCCCGGGTCAGGGTGGACCTGGGAACACCAGCAATTAAGAGGTGGTTCCACGCACCTCAAATCCTCCTGATCAGAGGCTTTGCTGTTGGACATAGTTTATTGTCTTACCCAGGACCTGGATGTAGTTTATCATCATACCCAGGATGACCTAATATGTATTTCACACCTTCAGCTGTTTCATTTGCTGAAAACTCTGCATCTATTTTCTTAGAGTTCTTGGAGAAACTACAAAAGACTTTCCAATTCATTTGGTATATTCAGTTAAGTTGAACCTACAGAATATTTAAGTCTTGGCTTCAAGAGATTATTATTTGAAATGGTTGGTCCCCCAGGATTATCAAAAAGATTATCACCATCATTTTCAAACCTGCATTATGCACTGTTGACATTGGTGCACAGATTTTGCATTTGGCTGTATAATGAACAACTATTCTTCATAGCCTGAGTTTGCTTTATTGCATTTTTGAAATTCATCTATCTATATATAAAATTCTGTGATTTCTGTAAGTCTGTCCATCCATCACACCCTTTAAGATAGCCATACATTGACCGATAAAAAACAAATTTTGGGAAGAAGTGCAAACAGGTAAGTGTGTACAAAGTACAGTTTTACTAGGGTGTGTAGATTAGTACAATAAATTTTCATTAATTTTTTTTTTGAAAAATTAAAAGTTTTATTATTTAACATACAAAATGCTCCTACTATTTTAATAATCTATTTATAAAAAATGCAATATTGTTTTTGCATATCTTTTCTTTAAATTTTATATACAAAAATCCAGTTTTCAGTTCACCCTGTGTTTGCAAGAACTATAAACAAATCATAAGGCCAAACTCTTCAAAAAGTTGGAATTTGGCTTCAGAAAGAAACATTTATGTATGGTCTGTTGTATGTTGCATGCTCAAGAGTAAGAAATCGTAAAAAAATTATTTTTGGCAGCTAAAAAGGAAAGAAATAAATTTTCTTAAAAATATTATTTACCATGAAGTCCTATGAAATTGGATTAAAGAAATTATGAAACTGTGAATTCAAATTTCATTGTTTCATAATTGAATAAAATGTAGAGTTTGTAAATCTTGACAGAAAATGTTAATGATAACTTCAACAATACTGAATACTGTAAGAATTTCAACATGTCAGCATGTTCTAGTAAGAGTTTAAAAAGACTTTAAAGAACATTTGTTACAGTTTCAAATGTTAAAACAACCAAAGCCAATTACTTACTTTCAGCCAAATAGGTTTTATGTATGAGACCTGGAAGAACGTGAGCATCTTCAAGATTAAAGTTATCATGAGGCCCATAGATGTTGGTGGGGATCACAGATGTAAAATGAAAGCCATATTGTTGATGATAACCCCTAGAAAAGAATGAAGACAAATCTGAATAAATATGTTGCTTATGAAGATCTTAGTACCTGAAAACTAAATCCAACACACAAAATAATAATCTATATATTTTAAATTATGGAAGGCATAATGATGAACTGATATTTTTATAGCCTCAAGTGAAACACGTATGATTAGTGTAACTGTTATTAGTGCTGAAAGTGAAATAAATGAGTAGAGTTCAAATACTGGCCTAGTCAGTTTTGTTTATTATTGCATTAATGCCTAAAGAAAAAGTATCAATCCATTTTAACCTTGGGTAGCAGTCAATCAAAACAGAGAAGTTTGCATTCTAAATCTCGGAGAGCGCAACAGAAAATTACACCACTGCCATTCCCAAGAAATTGTAGCAATTCACTGATAACAAAAAAAAGAATCTGTGGAGAGACGGGAACACTTATCTACTGAAGAAGCAGGGTGATAAAAAAAAAAAAAAAAAAAGAAAAAAAGGGAGGTAACTGAAGATCACTTTATGAATAATTCACAAAACATTATCCTACATAAAATCATATATATATATATATATATATATATATACATATATGTGTGTGTGTGTGTATATATATATATATATATATATATATATATACACACACACAAACAAAAAAATGACTGAATGGTTAGAATGTTCGCTTTCTGACCATGAAACCCAGGTCCGAATCTCACCATGGTGGATTTGTCAGGAAGGTAACTTCTTGATGTTATCAGTCTGGATGTGGCGATTCCAGCATGCAGGATCTTTGGAAAGTGTCTGAAAACTATGCCACAGGTTTATCCAAGCCATGTGAGTGAAATTGGGTAGATGGAACCCTTGGGGAGCTATTGGTGGTTGTGTTAGCAGAAAGTCACAAGTCATCGGGACTGAGGGTCTGAGCGTGCTGGCCTTGTTCAGGCTGTGGAACATACTAGATAATGCACTCTCTCCCAGAAACTGTAACTAAGATACACTCAGTTTAGCTGCAGTATGAACTGCATGTGGGCTTTCTGTGTGTTGAACAAACACAAATGTGTCTGAGAAAGTGTCTGCTATGCACACACACACATACATATTATATATATATATATATATATATATAGCCATGATCATATTATAATTCATTTTGTTCCTTTGTTAGTAAGTTTGTTAGCATGTGCATTACACTGTGCCATTGCTTCAGGTAATTAATGGACCATTCCATTTTTATTGCAAGGAAAGACATATGAAAAGGATAAATCAGGAATGATGTTTGATTTTAGTAAGAAAAAGAAAGCATATATGATAACAAGAAAAGAATGGAAGACCAGAAGAAAAAGAAAAAAGAAAGAGAAGATAGAGGAGGTGAGAATGCTTTCATGTATTTAATGTCTGCTTCAATGAAATGGAAAGCCTTGTCAATTTTGAAACTTTTCATTTGTACCCTCTTACTTCTTTAAATAATGACCTGAGTTCATATTTTTGATTGTGATTGCTAAAGATTTTGCTAATGATGCTAAAGATGTTTAGTCTAAATATTTAATGATGAAATAGGACAATTTCCTCTGGTATTTAATAGTCATGGAACTTGCAAGGAGTTTAAGAATTATATTTCATCAGGGAATTCAAATAGAAAAACCGTGACATTTTCATATGTACTGTTAGTTATTTTATAATTTTCTTAATTAGTAATTGAGTTTAATATATTTTGGGTGTGATTTTCATATAATTTAAAATTATGTTTCATGAATAGGCAGTTACACTTTTGTTGTTAAATTGTAGGTTGCTAAATTGATCTGTACTGAAATCATAGTTTATTAAGAAAATTTTAGATATTAAAATTTATAATTTATGTTAAAAAAAAAAATTGTTCAAATTATACTGTATCAAGTGAATTAAAAAAAAAAAATTAACATTAGAAATTTAGAGAAAATTTTAATAATAAACCATAATGTGCTATGCATAATTCATAGCACTACACATTGTAAACATTATATGGTAACCAGTGTTTTGTTTTTTATTAAACTTTTTCTTTTATAAAAGGGTGGTGTAAAGCTTTTGGACTGACCCCCTTCCCAAAATCTATGCAAATGACTAAATATCAGAATTTAGTGTGTTTGTGTGTATGAGTGGTGGGGGTCTTCTTGGTCAGGCTGAGAACGTTTCAGCAAAAACTTACCTGTTCTGAATATCAATCATACGCTTTGCATAGGCATAGCCAAAATTTGAATCATGAGGTGGGCCATCATGTACCTACAATAATCATAATTAATTTCATGAGATTATGAAAAAGTTAAATATCAGTTAATCAATTTTCAGTTTAATATTTTCTTTATGGGAAGTGAAACACTTTCATAAAATAATGATTTACAAGAGTCTGAATGCAAATAGTGTAAGTAATAAAAATAACAAAACCCGACATGACAGAGTGGGCCAAAATCTGCAACTTCTACGGGAAGGAAACTGAAAGAAACTGGTATGAACACCACCCAGACCCGGTTACGGAGATAGGACCTGTTACAATTCTATGGGACTACACAATACACACTGACAGAACAATCAAGGCCAACCGGCCAGATATTGTTATTAAAGACCACAAACAAAAACGGTGCCTCCTTATTGATATGGCAGTCCCTGCTGACTGCAATGTATCTTTGAAGATATTCAAAAAGTTGTCAAAATACAAGGACCTTGAAATAGAAATCTCGAAAATGTGGCATATGGGAACATCAACAATCCCTGTTGTAGTTGGAGCCCTAGGACTGGTTGGAAAAGATTGCAGTAGACTAATTGAAGGGACTCCTGGAAGTCCATGCCTCAAGGAGATACAAAAAATTGTTCTGCCAAGTACAGACCACACCTTACGAAGGGCTTTATCTATGTAATTAAACTTTTTTTTTTTGTCAGTGGAAAGTGTCATGACGCCATTTCTAACCTTAGGTCACTGAGCGGGACTCGGAAAGAAATGTGTAAACGCCAGAAATCAAAGAAAATAAAAATATTATTATTATTATAATGATGATGATAATAATAATAACAACAACAACTCTCCATCCCAGAAAATCAGACAGAAATGAAAAATATATAAAAATATAAAACAAATGAGAACAAGGTCTTGGCAGATTAGATACAAGAATGATGTCTTTTTAATTGCTCTATCCGAGAATTGACTGAAATGTAAGGTGTAATTGGAATCAAGAAACAAATTTTTACAATCTCTTTTTATTGAAACTGTTGGATAGGAAATAAAAGAGAACAATAGTAAGTTAAAATAATACATCAGTAAATATATTGTAACTGAGAGATAATCTCTCAGAATGCAAAACAATTACAGGCTTATTCAATCTAATCGATACTATATCTGTATTCTGATTGTCCATGTCCTGACTAGAAAGGATTTACACATATTACTTAAGTTTAACAAGACCATGAAATTTAAATCTCCTGTATAGTTCAAGTATTAAACCAATTTTATTAGACAGAGATATAAATTTGTCTAGTATCATGCTTTACCACCTCTTTAAAATGAAACAATTTGAAAATCTAAACAATAAAAAAAAAGAAGTATTTTAAAGAACTTCAGACACAAAACACATTCACTGTTTATAATATAAATGTATTACAGTTATTTTATTTAGTCAGTACATTTTGATCATATCCGAAAGGCTACGGGAGTTAATCCAGACAGAAAACCTGGAGTGGAGCCCTGAAGGTAGTTGGCTGTCAAAACAGACAACTATCTGACAACTCCTTCAGTCAAGCTGCCCCCAAATGTAATGCTCTGTATTCCTTTGGGTCTTGTCAGTATGATCATGAGGGGAGCCATCTAGTCTGAGCAGCGTTTGGTCTCCATAAGTAATTGCCCAAGCCTGTGTCTGGGAGAGGTCACTTTAGTCTCACCACCAAAAGACTGAATTTTGATCAAACAGGATGACACCTTCTCATCTCGCAAGATAAACGGATGCCTACATCTTCTAGATCAAAAATGAAATAAATATGTTTTTCAAGAATTGTAGTTAAAAAAAAAAAGAAAAAAAAAAAGGCAAATTTGAAAATTTATAGATTTTTGCAATAAAACAGTCAACCTCATATTTTTACCTAATTACAATTATGCATAACGTCTGTGGTGGTGTGATTGGGAAGCGGGGGGGGGGGCTTCAGGTCAACTTGCTGAAAAGGAGAACTAAACAGATGACTCAATCTGACTTTTTTTATTTATTTTATGTTTTTGTTAATCATTGACAATGCTTTTGAGCTGAGCTATATCGTTTTTCTAAAATCATTATGGCCATTGATTTTAAAAAATAAATCAGAAAATTAATTTACAGATTTTTTTTTTCTTTTGAAATATTAACATTTTTTCATATAAGTTTTTTTTTTTTTTAATCAAATTCACTCCAAGCAAGACACAGTGGGTTAATGGGTGTGAAAGAATTAGAAAACAGAGACATTATTAAGGAGCGAGAACAACAGAGGGGAAATCAGGAAGACAGTAGATAATGACTGAAAAGAAACTTAACACAGAACTTACGGTTACATCTAGCTTATTCAATTATGAATTGATAAGACCTTGTTGCCAGTATCGTACAGTGCTAGACACCAGATGAAAGTATTTACAGAAAAGGCACAGGGAAGCAACTTTATGATGCTGGGAAAGTAACTGAAGCTGAAATGCCAATAATATTGCTGATTCTTTGGATTTTATCAAGAATCCCTAAATATATAGCAGGAGCACCAAGCCATATGTCACAGCTATATTCAAAGTATGGCTGAATGGTAAACTTTTATATATAGAAACAGTCTGTCAATTTCATTCCAGAAAATAATTTCAGGTCATTAGCAAAAACAATTGTGTATTTAAAATCAAAACAAAAAAGGTTTCCAGTCATATAACAGATCTAAAAAAAAAAAAATAAACATTTTATGAGAGGTTCAATTAAAAAGAATATAGAATTAGCAATCTTTAAAACTTAATATCTGATCTAACTCCACTAACTTATTTTATGATGCCATGCTAACAAAATAGTTTCAAATTTTTTTAGAACTTTAATTCACACACATTTTGTGAAAAATGAAGATCCTTTCAGTAAACTATTTTTATGAACATTACAAATTTAAATAAAACATGAATTGGTAAAGGCAAAACTTTGGCACCATAAAAGTGACTAATGGTTCAAAAGTTTAGGATTTTTAGGCAATGTAGATGAATGCTAAAAAAAACAGACATAAGAAACATTTCATAAAAGCATCAAGATCTTTGCAAAAAGAATGTGAAAACTTACCATAGTCTCATTAATTGGATAAGTTGTCTTATCAGGAAAAATACAAGTAGATAAACAGGAAATTACTTTCTTCACTTTAAATTTGTAGGCAGTATGTAATACATTATCATTGATTAGGATATTATTTCTCTGGAAAAAAACAATAAAATCTTGTTAGAAATGCTTCATTAATAATCATTATTAGAAAGTTAATAATACAACACTGTAAAGTAGGCAGGCAATACCGATATCAACACTTTATTAAATTAATAAGTATACAATATACTTTTATACTAAATTCTGAAGAACAGTAACGGCAATAATAACCATTTCCCTACAAGGAAACATTTGGCATTCATTGACCAAGCAGCTTTCGGAATTAGCCAATAGGAAGGATAACATCTTCCACCAGGACAATGTCCAACCAGATCTGACAGCAATATTCAATGCCTGGACAAATAGTAGACTTATAAATGTGTAAGGTAGCCTAGAAACGGGTTTCCTTAAATAGGTAAGTGAACTTCATTTTACAAGGATGGTCTCCCATGACCAAATTGGTAAATGTATTCTGGCAAGAAAAATTGTTTTCCTTGACTATCTTATCAGATAGTTCTTTCCTTCTGAATCTGCCATCAACACAGTATTGACTGTATAGGACATATTGTTAAGGCCATGTCCACCAATAATAAATCCTGCTAAGTCTTCTAATCTCATAGAGAATCCTCTCGCTGTACAGGTTAAATTAATCAGGCGAGAAATCATATCTCTCACATATGCCAGTGTTTTCACTTATTTTGCTGGCTTTTTGCATACAAGCCATTTGTTCCCAATGCAGATTGCAGATTTTTGTATATCCTTTCCATGTAGATTAAGATTTGCTGATATGTTTTTCATGTACTTTACCAAATGCTTTTGTGTTTTCTATGTAATTCAGGTATGATACACATCTCTTGTTCATTTTGACAATGAAGTACTTTTGCTTCAGCATTTTGTACATCATATTGTTTTTCATTTATTTTCATAAAAATTAAAAACCTAATTATTATTTTTGTTACCTGGTTCAACAAGTTGATCATTTGATAAAGCACATATTTGTTCAAAGCTTATTTCTTTGGTAATACTATGAAAATTGATCTACTTAAATCTTTCAGTATTTCACCACTATTGTATATTTTAATTATCAGTTCAGTAAGCTTATCAATCTTAAAGGCATCTAAGGTTGTAAGAAAATCGCATCTGATCCTGTTACTTTGTTCATCTTTACTTTGGTAATTGCTATTCTTTCTTCAGATTTTATCATCACAAATTCCTTATATACAAATTCGTAGTTTCTATTGAAATTTCAGAGATAACTGGAAAAAAAATTCCATCTTTTCATTATATTCACTATCAATCTTTAATTAGGAATAGATTTTATCTACAATCATTTATACACAAAACTGCATATTATTTTATGTATGTTCAGAGAATTGTTTCAAATACATGCTTTTGAAATCGCCTAAATTCAATATTTAGATTTATTTAGAATGTTCTATACAGTATGCAACTAGATCTAACTAATAAGAAACTTTGCATGTCACTTTTATAAATCTCTTTTAACCATTTTATAGTAACAAGGAACCCTTTCTTTATTGGCACTCATTACATAAAGTAGGATGTGCATATAAAGGAATGAAATCAATTGAATACAAAGAGCTTTCATTTGGAATGAAAAGTAAGCTAACAATAAGATAATCAGGGGAATAACGAGCATGCACATCTCACAGGACATTGGCTAGGGCGGCTAGCCAATTCCTATTGCAGACCCTTGTTCAGGCGCATTTGTGTTTATTCAACACCATATATATATATATATATATATATATATATATATATATATATATACACACATACACACACACAAGTAAATAATACAGAGGTTCAGCAGCTTATAGATCATTTACAGATGAAATGCACTCTTAAAACGCATAAAGCATAGACTGAGAGAAGAACTTGTCTGCTAAGAAGATCACTTACAAGAAGTGTAAATGTCAGGTTCAATGAGCTCACAGAGCCATGAAAGAGTGTTGGTGGTCTGAAAAGGCCAACAAACTCCAAGAAGCTTCAGATAGAAAGGATGTAAAGGCTTTCTATGCTGGCCTCAAGAGCATTTTCAGTCCTCAGAAAAGTGGTGTTGCTCCAATTTCCACAGCAGATGGTGAAACTCTCTTGACAGGTAAGTCAGAAATTTTGGATCGCTGGAAAGAGCATTTTGAAACTGCGTTAAACACTTCAGTTACTGTTGAGGAAGCCATCACATCAATCGTGCAAAATCCAGAAATTCTGGAGTTATCTTTTGAACCTACCTATCAAGAGGTAAGTGACTCCATCAAGCAAATCTCATCTGGAAAATCACCTACTCCTAAGGATCCTATTCAACCCGAAGTGTATAACCATGGTGGCAAAAAGTTGGTGGAAAAGTTGCATCTCTTTTTTGTGGCGATATGGAAGGCAGGCTGTGTCCCACAGGATTATAAAGACACCTATATCAAACACCTCTACAAAAACAAGGGTTTCACGTTTGTCTGTGATAATCATTGGAGGATATCAATCCTTTCAATTGCAGGCAAAATCCTAGCTAGGCTGATTCTAAACAGAATCATTATACACTTTGTTGACAACATCTATTGTGAATCGCAGTATGGTTTTCGGTCGGGTCATGGCACCATTGACATGATATTTTCTTTTCGTCAAGTTGCAGAGAAGGTTTACGAAAAAAAAAACAGTTGTAAATGGTGCTTTTGGACTTGACGAAGGCCTTTGACTGTGAATTGAGAGGCTCTTTGGCAATTCTTGAGGAAACTTGACATCCCAGAAAACATGCTAAAGGTGATCATCTCTTTTCAAGAAGGAATGAAAGCTAATGTCGTGTCTGATGGTATGATGTCAGAATTGTTTGATGTCACAAACGGCACCAAGCAAGGGTGTGTCATGGCCCCTGTCCTTTTTGCTCTTTCCTTCTCAGTGATGCTGAAATATGCATTCAAAGACACAGAGAGCAGCATCAAGTTGCAGTTTTGAACAACTGGTGGACTCTTCAATGATCAGCGCTTCAAACCCAAGACCCACCTTTGTACACAAATTATCTGTGATTTGTTGTTTGCTGATGATGCTGCTCTTGTTGTGACATCCTTTGAGGAGGCCCAACATTTAATAAATTGTTTCTCTGCTGCATGTAAAGCCTTTGGTCTTACACTTAGCATAAAGAAAACTGAAGTAGTGCACCAACCTTGTCCTACTCCAAAGCAATTCTGTGGTGAGAAACAAAAATTTCCAGAGAGACTATTGAAAGTAGAAGACAAAGCCCTGAGCTATGTAAAGTCTTTCACCTATCTTGGTAGCAAAGTCAACTACAGTGGATCTTTAGATGATGAAATCATGCATTGGATTGCTAAGGCTACCAGTGCTTTCAGCAAACTTAACTTTCGCTTGTGGATTGAGTGGAATATTTGACTGGATATGAAAATTCAGGTTTAAAGAGCTGTTGTCCTTGCCATCTTTTTGTATGACCTCAGAGTCATGTACTCCATACAGGCACGATATATGCCAGCTGGATGTTTTCCATAACAGCTGTGTGCCATTTTTGGAGTTAGCCTTCAAGATAGGACATCTAATGTAGACCTGTTTAACACGTGTAATATTGGAGGAATCAAGACTTTCTTCATACAGTCTCAGTTACGGTGGACTGGTCATGTCTTGAGAATATCTGATGACAGGATACCCAAGATTCTAATGAACAGCCAGTTAAATCAGGGCTATAGGAATGTAGGACACCCATGCCTAAGATCCAAAGACCAGCTGAAGAGCAACTTGTCAGCTGTTAATATACTTCATAACACCTTTGAGCACTTAGCCTAGGAGAGAATAGAGAGGAGATCAATGTGTTTTAGCGGACTTAGTAGTTTTCAATTTTTCTGTCTGAATCGTCTTCAAGATCTAAAAGGTCAGCCAATCTAACAGTGATCTCATCCTACTCTTGCTCCATATGTGGCCTCCTTTGTAAATCACTAGTGGGTCTTAAGTGCCACTTAAGATTATCCCACAAAATTTCATAACTGAATCAATTGGTTAAGTTGTCAAATCCTCATACTTCGAAACCAATGGGAGAGTCCATCATACATATATATATATATATATATATATATATTATATATATATATATGTGTATATATATATATATATATATATATATATATATATATATATATATATATATATATATATATATATATATATATATATATATATATATATATATATATATATATATATATATATATATATATATATATATATATATATATATATATATATATATATATATATATATATATATATATATATAATATATATATATATATATATATATATATATATATATATATATATATATATATATATATATATATATATATATATACACACACAAGTAAATCTTTGATAAACATGGAAAAAAATTACACAGAGGAAAAAAAAGACTTACAAAAAAGTTATATTTCAGATTTCTAAACAGTCCTCCAACCATAGCTGCCAAGTGAATAACATGTGTTGGTTGATATTTTTCAAATACTGCTTCTGTCTGCTGTGCATCTCTTTAAAAAATGAATTACAAATATGAACAGGTTTTGTTTTTAATTCAAGAGTTTGAAAGGGACAAAAGTTTTGATAGAAAGACTTCAGAAAATGAAATTTTTCAATAAACAAAAAAGAGAAGTGTAGTTTATATTTTTAAAATTATTTTAACAAAATTAGGATTCACAAAAAACCATCATTTTATCGTTAAAAAGAAATTGTGTAAAGAGATATTTCTAAGTATCTAATCATTTGAAATTATATTTCTCTTGCAAGCTAAGATAACAAAAGAAGGTAAATAATGGTTTTACTGGTTTCAATTTGGCATTAAAAAATGAATTTTTGTGAATACAACAGAAAAGAAGTAAAGCAGGAGTAACTAGAAATTTTCACATATATTTTTACAATTTTAAAATAAAATATTTTACAAACAGTACAATAAAAATTTACATATAGTGGGACAAATTTTGAAATAATTTTTTTTAAAAATAAATATATAAAGATAATATAAAATAAAACTTTACAAGTAATTGATTAAAATCTTTTTAATTTTAAAATGGAATTTTCTAGACAAAAAGTCTATAAGCAATTTACTGTTTTTTTTTTAATAACTCAGTATTACAAAAGCAAATTACCATTATGCTTCAAAATCATTAACTTTTAACACTTTCTTAATATTACACAAACTTTTTTTTAGGGTCGTTATAAATGAATTAATAGTCATAAAAATATGGTTATTATTAATCAAATATGACAAAAATACCTACAAAAGATTGGCATCTTTGGAGGAGAGAAAGATCCATTTTTCATTTGGGTGTTTTTCTTCCTTATCAACAACTGTTTGTATGGCTTGTCCAACAAGACCTGTACCTCCCGTTACAATAATCACCTTATTTTCGACTTCTGTCATGGTCGACTGTTATTAAAATATTAGTTTAAAATAGAAAAAGCAAAATTATTTTCATATTTCCAATTTCCAACATATCAGTTTCCATAAATACATACAGGCTAATACAACAGATTTTTATTTTATTAGTTTGACAATAAAAATAACCCCTTCTCACAGACAAAATTTCGCAAGCCTCTACCTGTTCTTTTGCTCTACCTCGACTGGCTCCTGAGCCTAGCACCAAGTGAACTTCATTGTGAAAAAAATAAAACAAAATAGTATTTTGATAATTTTTAAAGTTAATGAGACATATATTATTTGCAAACATTGACCTTTGTACATCCAAAAAAACGAAGTGTTTAAGACATTTTTTTCCCATGATGCAGCTTTTATTTTAACTATCTTCACTCTTCAGCAAGGTTTATTATTCTAAAAAGTGATCACTACAATTGTAATAAAACCTAACATTTGGTTTTTGCTCTTGGCAACAAAATTACTACACAGCATTATTTATTAGATTGTTTATCTACAAGAATAATTTTATATTTACAACATTCTAAAAACTAATATAATTAAAACTAATACAATGCAATATTTATCATTTACCAACTTATAAAGAAATAAATATGAAAACAATTTCTTATTAATAAATTTATAAACATTTACAAAATGATTAAAAAATGTGAATAACTATAAGGAAATCTTTATTATTTAACATTTTATAAAGTTTCTATTGGTTCAAATATTGCTTGGAATGATTGAAAAATATTTCCCTCTCCCTAATTTATAGGCAGAAGCACACAAATGCATGCTGGGATTTCTTCCTGGCAAATAAAATAGGCCAGTTCTCAGTGTCATCTGGCACAGTCCTGGTCTGTCATGCTTTGAAGTCAGAATGCTGCATTTTGTTCATCCGAATTTGCACGTGTCAAACCCAATTCTTAGTTTGTGAACTTTTGCCATACTACTGTTAATTTGCTTTGTATATATTGTTTGCTTGCTTTATATTATCTTTTGCCCTGTTCTTTTCTCTTCATTGTTATTGTAATTGTTTATTGCAAACTTTGTCAAATCTGTTTGTTGGGCAGTTCTGCTTTGAAGTCAGAAAATCCTATGTTTGCTTATCTGAATTTGCTCTTATGTGTCAACTCCAATTCTTAATCTGCAAACTTTTTGGCATATTACTGTTAATTTTCCTTGCATATATTGTTTGCTTCCTTTATATTATTTTTTCCCGTTTTTTTCTTTTTTTTGTTATTGCAAACTTTATCAAATCTGTTTGTTGGACAGCTCTGCCATTCATTTATTTATATTTAACGATAGCCACTCAAATCTACAGTTTGAATCCCTTGGTAATTAGTTGACGTTTTGCCAACGATTCTAATAAACAATCTAATAAATAAATCAATTTTCAAGAACAAAGAAAATGTATCAATTCCCTTTCATATATTTAGGTTTTATTACAATTCTAATTATCACTTTATGATTGGATGAGAACGGGGTTTTCAACATGATATGGCGGTATGCCTGAAAATCAACAAAGATCTCTTCTGTAAATGTAATTTTCTCATGATTTCATGGAAACTTTACACACATGTCTGTACAAAAAAAGACATATTTACAAACACAGCTTTATTCCAAGATTCTTTGAATTTTTTTTATTCAGTTAGCTAAGGCAATAAAATAACAGTTGCTAATTGTATATAATTGTTTGTGTATTCAATTCTTATATTTTGTTGTACAAAGAAACTTTATTGCATCCACTATCAACTAAACCAAAATCAACCAAGTACAGAGGATTAAATATCTGGGAATCATTTTAACAGATGACAGAAAATGTGACACAAATCCAAAGGTGAATTGGAAGAGCAAAAGATGCCTTGCAAAGCAAAGTATTAAGAAACAGGAAAAGTTCAACAGAAAGATAGAAAAGAGTGCTGAACAGTTAATATTAATCCTCTTATATGGTAGTGAATGCAGGACATTTTCCTCACATACTCAAGGCAACTGAAATGTTGCTCTACAGGAGGATGCTGAGGATATCATGGATGGAATATGTGAGCAAAGAAGTTTTAAAAAAATGGAAAGAAAAAGTATCTGTCTATGGCACAGTGGATAAAGGCATTAGTTTGATCCAGTGACAGGATCCAAAGAGTGCGAGTTCAATACCCGGTTAAGGCAGTGGAGAACCTTCAGAGGAAAATTAACAGGAGATAACTGATAGCTGACATCCATTAAACATGGCACGTGGAACCAGAACAGTCTACCTCGGTGAGGGAAATAAAAGGTTCAGTTCGACATTCCAACCACCTGATGAAAGCTGGAGCATATAATGGCTGAAACGTCGTAATAAATATAGCGACAAAAATGAGGACAATGGTCTGAATAATGTAAATAATGGAAACAAAAAGGTCATTTATACTTAGAAAGGTAGAGATACTTGAAATTTCTGGGGTAAATATAAAGAGGGTTTGGAGAATTTGGCACTCAAAAGGAATGTGAGGGATTTTAAAAAGACAAACATTGCTAAGAACTATAAAGGATTGGAAATTGTGGAGAACCATGATCGCTGACATCTTGAAGGGACACAGTACATTTTAATCACAGACTAGTTAGAATTCAGTCACTTTCTCACTGACATGGCGTGGCTTTCCTTTGTCTTTTCTACAAATATATTTATGCCAACTGCTCTGATGAGCATTTTTCCCTGGTGACCTGACTTTAATTAATTTAAGTGTGCTACTAGATTAGCATTTAGGTCCTGTCTAATGTTGAAATAGCTAGATACAACTGCCACTTTTACTCCAACTGTTTTTTTTCTCACACTTCCCGCCTGTGGAAATCCCTACCATTTACTTGCTTACCTGATAAATACAATCTTTAAAAGTCTAAATGCAACGACAATCACCATCGTCTATCTTCTTGAATCCCATTCATCTTTTGTTCTTTCCTCCCTCCTCCCTTTTCTCAGTATTTTCTCTCACTTTCACTCTCTGTAGACCCCTGCGTGCTAATGGCATTCCCACTTTGCTTGGAGTAAAAGGATTAAAAAATTTTTTTAAAATATATCTATTTTAATAAGATCCTTGAATATATTTTAAGAAGAGTCTGTTACTAGTGTGAAAAGTGGTCTGTAAATTAATAAAATATTAGTAAAAATATTTAAAAATTAAACTTTTTTTTTTTATTTCATAGAAACAAATTTTCAACAGTTTTCACAATGACAACCTTTAATGTAGCTTAAAGAAGTAATGGATTTCAGTGTTAAACTAATCAATGACTAAGTGGTTTGAATCGATGAGCCATTCTTACCCAAATGTGACCAAGATTGATTTTGTTTTTCTTGAAGTTAAAGTTTTGTAAGTTTAATCATTTTATTTTTTAAATTCAGTGAAATGAAGACATCAAGTCCGCATGATAAAAATCCCAAGTAATCAATGCTGACTTGGCAACTCGACATCAGTCACTTTCTCACAAATGTGATTTGGCTTCTCTCTGTCTTTTCTATAAATATTTTCATGGCAACTGCTCTGCTGAATATTTTTCTCTGATCCTTTGACTCAATGAATTTAAGAATGCTACTAGATTGGCATCTAGGTCCCACCGTTTTACTGTTGAAATAGTTAAATGAAACTGCCACTTCTACTCAAAGTTTCTTTTCTCGAACATCCTGCCAGTAGAACTCCCTTCCATTCACTTGCTTCCTTGAAAACTGCAATCTTCAAAAATTTAAATGCAATGTCAATCGTCATCTATCTTCTCGAATCCTGTTCATCTTTTATCCTTTCCTCAGTTCCCACTATATCCAGTTTTTTCTTTCACTTTCACTCTGTGTAACCCACTGTGTACTCGTGACATTCCCACTTTGCTTGGGGTGAAATGATTTAAAAAAAAAAAGTGTCTAAGAAAAAGAAAAAAATTCCAACTTAAACATTTACATAAAGTAGCAAATAAAACAAAATGTTGCAAACCATTTTTGACGTATGGTAATTAATAGGAATTTTATTACCTTTTCAGAATAGTATTACTGCATGGATCGGTTTTCAAAATGTCTTCATTTGACTTTTCAGTACGATATTTTGTTGAATATGGACTCAGACACTGGATTAGGGTTTTTATATATGATAGTCATATTTTTATAATGATGTAAAATCGTTTGATAAAGTAGGTGACAAAGAACTGATGGAAATGCTAGGACAACTTGATTTATTTGGGAAAGGATATTAGAATCATCCAGAACTTATACCGAGTAAACCAATTGCATACGGATAGAAAATGAATTAAATAGGTACATGAAAATAGAAAATGGCATGAGACAAGGATGTGTCTTCTCACCAGACTTATTCAACCTTAACAGTGAAGCAATCCTGAGATAATTAGAAGTCCTACCAGGATTCATTATTGGTGGCCACAATCTTAGCAATATTAGATATGCAGATGACATTATTGACAGTAGATATAGAAAGGAAACAACAGGAACTCCTACAAAAGATAGTGAAGGGATGTGAGAAGAAAGGACTAAAAATCAAATGTAAGAAATAAGAACATATGGTTGCCAGCAAAAGAAACAGCCCAACATGTAAATTACAAATTGGAGATAACAAAATCAACCAAGTATAAAATTAAAATATCTGGGAAGTATTGTAACAGAGGATGGAAAATGCAACATAGAAATCCAAAGGTACACTGGGTTTGAGAAAGATGCTTTCCAAAAGCTAAACAATGTATAAAGAAACAAAATTTTCATTAGAAAGAGTACTGTACTGTTATGTAATATCAGTCCTCTTATATAGCAATAAAAGCTGAACAATCTCATCACAGATGAAGAGAAAGATTTGAAGCAACAGAAATGTGGTTCTACAGAAAGATGCTGAGAATACCATGGGCTGAATATATTAGCAACAACAAAATATTTGGGGAAAATTGAAACTGTAATCAATTTTGTCATGCTTGGAATAAAATTAACTTAATTTATTTCATTCGCTAAACAGTGCCATGCAAGCCAAACAACCCACCACACGTCTCTT